CCCGGCACCGCACGTGGTCCCCCAGCACCACCAGGTGAGCTCAGAGCCCGGTGTGGTCCTGAGCAATGCAGGGTGTGGCGCCCCAGATTAATTAAATAGTGGTTAGGTGGCAGAATTCCGCCAACGGGAAGGAAACTCCTCTGCTCTCCGCATCCCGTCCAGGGAGTTTCCAGTGTCCTGGAGTGTGTAAACTCAAAGGGATGGGTATTTGATTATTGTATAATTGAAACCCAAGCACAAAAATTTGTAAGTCTACAACTGTACCTCATGATGTCTCACTTATAAAAATTAAAAAAAAAAAAAAAGACAGCGGCAGCGGTCTATCTGTCCCACCGCCAGCATTCGGTAGTCTCGGGCCGCTTCCCCCACCCCGGGGGCGGTGGAAGACGATGGGCAGGCGAAGGAAGGAAACGAGGGCCAGGCTGGTTGGTCTTAGTCGCAGTTTATTCCAATACTCTCTCCATTCATTCCTGTCTCTCTCCTCTGCCTCCTCCTGCCCATTCTTTTTTTTTTTTTTTTTTTTTTTTTTTTGCTTTTTGGGTCACATCTGGTGATGCACAGGGGTTACTCCTGGCTCTGCACTCAGGAATTACTCCTGGCGGTGCTCAGGGGACCATATGGGATGCTGGGAATCAAACCCGGGTTGGCCGCATGCAAGACAAACGCCCTACCCATTCTTACAGTCTCATTATATCACCCAGCATGAGGGATTGGGGTAACAATTACACATAGGTGTGATCACAATCAATAGGGGTTAAGTTCTTTCCCTCGGGGAAATCTACTCCTAGGACAGATTCTCATTATCACATCAATCCACCCTAGAGCGGAATCCCCTGGGTGTGTTTCTCCTCTCCTTGTCCAACAAACATATAAGCATATATAATATAAATCATTTTGTATGATATGTAAGAAATACCTTAAACTTATAGAATTGCCCTCCTAGAGCCATCTCAATCTCAGACTACAGTGCTCAGGCCAGATAATCTTTCCTATCCCTAGCAGGGTCCTAGTCTCGTCGTTACTTTTGGATCATGACAGCATTTGTCTATGATAAAACTTATAGTTAAGGATCGTGGCTCTTTGGCCTGGCCCATTTCGATGCCAGGGTAGCTCACTACTTGCCCTGGGTCCATTCATTCCCTTGCTGGGACCCTGCTTTGGGGGTGTTACGAACCAAGGGCAACTAAGGCTTAAGTCAAGAAAGCAGATGCCCAGGAGTGAATAACATTCAAAGCCAATTAAATCCTAAGTTACAAAGCATAATATTAACGGTCTTCCTGTATCTATACAAAAAGGACATTGCTTTTAAGTAAACTATTCAAAAGACAAAAGGAGAGGAGAAAGGCAATATTAATTTACAATACAATTTCAGTGTCCTAGAAGGATCAGACCTTACAAATTAACAGATTCTGGGACTGGAGCGATAGCACAAGCGAGTAGGGTGTTTGCCTTGCATGTGGCCGACCCGGGTTCAATTCCCAGCATCCCATATGGTCCCCTGAGCACCACCAGGAGTAATTCCCGAGTGAAGAGCCAGGAGTCATCCCTGAGCATTGCCAGATGTGACCCAAAAAGCAAAAAAAAAAAAAAAAGGGCAGGAGGAGGCAGAGGAGAGAGACAAGAATGAATGGAGAGAGTATATGTGTGACCCAAAAAGAAAAAAAAAAAACAGATTCTGATGCCAAACACAGTAACAACAAAGTCTCATGATGGAGACCGTTACTGGGCCCGATCGAGCAAATCAATGAACAACGGGGAGTACCATGACCATGACCGTGACTGTGATTAGGGGGGAAAGCTGATTAACTGGTTGGGGAGGAGAGCATAGGGAATAAATAGGGAATAATTTACAGATAAACACAATGGAATGGAAGTGTCTCAGGAGCACTGTAATAAAACTGAGTTCCTCTGGCAAGGGGGGATTGGCAAACCAATGTTTAGCCTAAAATATTTGGAACTATAGTTCAACACTGGAGTCAGTCACGCGCTTGTCCCTGACAGCATGTTGCAGAGACTATCAGGAGACTTGGCAGAGGGCCCGGCTCTTTCTCGGGGTGGGTGGTGGGAGCCTCCAAACTCCCTCACAGCCCTGGGCTGCTCTTGTCCTGCTCCGGACGGGCCCTCTTTTCCGTGTGACATCTGGCACAGGTCGTCTGCCAGCTAATTCCCCCGCTGGCAGCCCAGGAAGCTCAGCTCGCTATTGACGATCACAGACTTATAAGGGACAGCCTGGGTCCCACCCCACCGCCCGCCTTGGGAAGGTGTGGGACTGTCACTCTTTGAGTTGGTGCCCCCATCCTTCCATGCTGACTCACGGAGGCTCCAAGGCGGGAGAGGGGAAAAACTTTCCTAGGGCTTAGTCCCCTGGGCGAGTTCAGCCCACGAGGAGCCTGTCGGAAACAGCTGGTCCAGAACAAAATCTCATTGCAGATTTGCCGAGACACATCCTCAGGCACCCTCAAATAGAACCTGAAGGGGGCTGGAGCGATAGCACAGCGGGTAGGGCGTTTGCCTTGCACAAGCCAACATGGCCAACACAGGTTCGATTCCCAGCATCCCATATGGTCCCCCGAGCACCGCCAGGAGTGATTCCTGAGTGCATGAGCCAGGAGTAACCCCTGAACATCGCCGGGTATGAACCAAAAAGCAAAAAAAAAAAAAAAAAAAATATATATATATATATATATATATAAACCTGAAGGGGCCCCCACGCACAGGCAGGCACAGAAAGTGGCCCAAGAAAGAGGCAGGATGGGCCCAGAGAGATAGGACAGCAGGCAGGGTGCTCGCCTTGCACATGGCTGACCAGGGCTCAATCCCCAGAACCCCATACGGTCCCCTGAGCCCCACCAGGAGTGATTCCTGAGTGCAGAGCCAGGAGTAAACCCTAAGCACCGCCAGGTATGCCCCCCCCACCCAAAAAAAAAAGAAAAAAAAGAAAGAAAAAAGGAAAGGAAAGGAAAGGGAAGGGAAGGAAGGAAGGAAGGAAGGAAGGAAGGAAGGAAGGAAGGAAGGAAGGAAGGAAGTTTCACTTCATGGGGCCAGAGGGATAGTACAGCGGGGAGGGCATTTGCCTTGCACGTGGCCGACCCCGGTTCGATCCTCAGCATCCCATATGGTACCCCGAGCACCACCAGGAGTTATTCCTGAGTGAAGAGCCAGGAGTAACCCCTGAGCATCCCCAGGTGTGACCCAAAAAGAAAAAAAAATAATAATTAAAAAAATGTAATAAATTGGGGCTGGAGTGATAGCACAGTGGGTAGGGCGTTTGCCTTGCACGCGGCCGACCCGAGTTCGATTCCCAGCATCCCATATGGTCCCCTGAGCACCGCCAGGGGTAATTCCTGAGTGCAGAGCCAGGAGTAACCCCTGCGCATCACCGGGTGTGACCCAAAAAGCGCAAAAAATAAAAAAAGTAATAAAGACCTACACCAAAGCGATTTTTAAAAAGTATTTATTTATTTGGTTTTTGGGTCACCCCAGCAGTCTCAGGGGTTATTCCTGGTAGGCTAGAGTGACATAGAGGGTAAAGGTAAAGGTAAAGGCCCTCCCATTGTTCGTCGATTTGCTCGAGCGGGCCCAGTAATGTCTCCATTGGAGACTTTGTTGTTACTGTGTTTGGCATATCGAATACATCACGGGGAGCTTGCCAGGCTCTGCCGTGCGGGCGAGATACTCTCAGTAGCTTGCCGGGCTCTCCAAGAGGGGCGGAGGAATCGAACTCGGGTCATAGAGGGTGGTGGGAATCAAACCCTGGTGGGCTACGTGTGAGGCCTACCTGTTATACTATCGCGCCAGCCTCAAAGTGGTTTGTATTTTTATATATTTTTTTGCTTTCTTAGTCACACCCAGTGGTGCTCAGAGGTTGCTCCTGGATCTGTCTTCAGCTATCATGCTGGTGGTGCTAGAGGGCACTTGGGGGTGCCAGGAATCAAACTTGGGTGATCCACATGCAAGGCAAGAGCCCCAGCCACTGCAGACTCTTACCCCCAAAGGGATTTTTAAATTATGCTTCATTTGATAAATTCCCCCTGAAATCAGAGATGCAGAACTCCTTGGAGGACTTGATTAAACTCGTTTTTCTGTCATGTTCCTTGGTTACAAGAATTCCAATTTCAGTGACTCTAGGCCCGTATTTAAAAAGAGGAGCCCCCAAGCTTTAAAAAATGTCTTCATCTTTGAAAACATATTTATGTCAAGTCTGCTTTACTATTGTCTAGCTCCCAAATGAGATTTCGTTTGTTCACATTGAATATTTAAAATAGACCAACTTAGCTTTTATTTTTTTCTCTTTATTTTTATTTTGTGTGTGTGTGCCTGACGTTTTTGTCCTAGTTTTCATTTTTTTAAATTTCTATATTGAATCACTGTGAGATTCCAGACCCTTATAAAGATGTTCATGATTAGGTTTCGGTCCTACAGTGTTCCAACACCCATCCCTCCACCAGTGTACATTTCCCAGCACCAGTGTCCCCAGTTTCCCTCCCATCACCCCCATCCCCCCCACCAGACCATCTTAACTTTTATGTTCCCAAATTCATTGCTTATAAAAGTTGATTTCTTTGGGGGGCCAGCCACATCCAACAGTGCTCAGGGCTTCCTCCTGATTTTGTTCTCAGAAATTCCTCCTGATAGAGCCCAGGAACAAGATGCAGTTCATGGGGTCAACTCAGGTCAGCCTTGTGCAAGGCAAGTGCCTTATGTGCTGTACTCTCTGTCTGTCCCTAAAAGGTTACTTTTGTGTAACTTAAAGTATTGCCAGAACTCAACAAAAGTCCATTTTTCATTCCTGGATTTTTCTTCCAAAATACTTCCCCCTCCCCCTGCCCCCAATGGTTTTTCCATGCAAATCAGCAAGTTTGGTTGGGGGCAGGGGGAGTTGGCCATACCTGGTGGTGCCCAGGACCACTCCTGACTCTGTGCTCAGGTGCGACCCCTGGCAGGGCCCGGGGAACCTCTGTGGTGCCAGAGAGCAAACGAGGGGCGAGACCAGGGACGGCATGCTAGGCGAACGCTTCACCTCCAGACTCATCTCCTTGGCCCCCAATCAGCGAGTTTCTCCCGGCCTCCTCCCCTGCCGACATTCGCAGGCAGGATGCCATCAGGAGGGTGGCATCTGTGCTCTGGGGGTCTCTGTGGACTCAAATATAAAAATAACGACAATTGTGGGTCAAGCTGACATCGCAGGAACCCGTTACTGCTCTTGATTCTGAAACAAAGGTCGGCACAAGAGAACTAGTGTATCACTGCCCTTATTCTGTGTTTGATCCCAAAAGCAGGTGACCCACTGATAAATAAAAGTGTGTGTCTGGGGCTGGAGTGATAGCACAGTGGGTAGGGCGTTTGCCTTGCACGCGGTCCACCCGGGTTCGATTCCCAGCATCCCATATGGTCCCCCAGGCACCGCCAGTGGTAATTCCTGAGTGCATGAGCCAGGCGTAACCCCTGTGCATTGCCGATGTGACCCAAAAAGCAAAAAAAAAAAGTGTGTGTCTCTCCACCAGTAAGTCTGGACTTGTCCCTGGCTTCATTTAACCACCCCGGGCCCTGGGGTGGTTAAATGATATTGCCACTGACTGCCACTCCAATGGAGTTGCAAAAAGCCCTTAGAGAATAGAATAAATTGATTTTTTTTCTTTGGCTTTTGGGCCATAGCCGGTGATGTTCTAGAGTTACTCCTGGCTCTGCACTCAGGGATCACTCCTGGCATGCTCAGGGGAACCATAAGGGATGCTGGGGATCAAACCCAGGATTGTTGCTGCCAGGCAAGAGCTTTTACCCTCTGTACTATCTCTTCAGCCCCTCTTCTTGTCTGTCTTTGGACGGGGGTCGGGGGATGGGGGGGCTGTAGGGGAGGGATACGACACTCGGCTCGCTCAGTGCTCACTTCCGGAGGCACTGGTGGGGGACATCAGTGGTGTCAGGGACTGAACCAGGGCCCACTGCATGCAGAGCATGTGTTGCGGCTCTCTGAGCCTCCCTCTTAAGCTGCTGTCGCTGTGGTTACATCTAAGAACCTTAGATTACTGTGAGCGTTAGGGCGAGTTTGGTTGCAGGAGTCCCATGTTTTATGGAACAGTAATAGAAACACCAAGCTTTTTTTTTTTCCTTTTTTGGGGTCACACCCAGTGATGCTCAGCGGTTACTCCTGGCTCTGCACTCAGGAATTACTCCTGGCGGTGCTCAGGGGACCATATGGGATGCCGGGGATCGAACCCAGGATGGCCGCGTGCAAGGCAAATGCCCTACCCGCTGTGCTATTGCTCTGGCCCCCTAGAAACACCAAGCTTTGCCCAGAAAAGGTTTCTAGCTGACCTATCGCTTCACCCTCCTGCTGTTTCCCTGAGAGTTAAGCGTAGTCAAGTACAGTTTCATTCTCCCATCAGTAGCTATTCCACCTAGAAAACCAAACCAAACCGCTTTCTCTCTACTAGGTCGGTTACTATATCTTTGGCTGACAAGGCAGAAACAAGCATAGATGAACCTTTCCCCAGTATGGTAGTAGGAAAAACTCGGAGGTCAGCAGGATGCGAGCCAAGCCAGGAGCCAGGCGCTTTCCTCAGGGCCAGCAGTCCCTCCGCTGAGAGTGTTGACTGCAGTAGATGCCCGAGCACCTGCGGAAGCTTCCCCTCCCACTGGGACCTCTCGGAAGACTTTCTCCCTGAGCGCTCAGAATCAACTCTCAGTAGGAATTATTGGCAGGCGGGGACTCAATACCCAAAGGAGAAGGAAGATTCTGTTTCCAAAATCTCCCAGCTCACAGGTAAGGGCGGCTTCTCCCGACCCACGCCCAGGAGCTCCTTCCAAACTCGAGGGGTCCCCAGTCCCCATCAGCAGTTCTCCGTGTTACAAACATGTACCTGAAGTGGACTTTTCTAGAAGGCGTCAGGGGATGGAAAGATTGAGAATAACCGTGGAGGGGCTGGAGCAATAGCACAGCGGGTAGGGCGTTTGCCTTGCACGCGGCCGACCTGGGTTCGATTCCCAGCATCCCATATGTCCCTGAGCAGCGCCAGGAGTGATTCCTGAGTGCAGAGCCAGGAGTAACCCCTGTGCATCACCAGGTGTGACCTAAAAAGAGAAAAAGAAAAAAAAACGTGGAGGGAGCAGAGTGATAATAGAGCAGGGAGGGCATTTGCCTTGCACACGGCCGACCCGGGTTCGATCCTCAGTACCCCATGTGGTCCCCTGAGCACCGCCAGGAGTAATTCCTGAGTGCAGACCAGGAGTAACCCCTGAGCATCTCTGGGTGTGGCCCAAAAAAGCAGAAAGAAAGAAAGGAAGGAAGGAAGGAAGGAAGGAAGGAAGGAAGGAAGGAAGGAAGGAGAAAGAAAAGAAAGAAAGAAAGAAAGAAAGAAAGAAAGAAAGAAAGAAAGAAAGAAAGAAAGAGGGGGGAGGGAGGGAGGCAGGGAGGGAAGGGGAAGGAAGGAAGGAAGGAAGGAAGGAAGGAAGGAAAAGGAAGGAAAAGGAAGAGAGAAAGAAAGAGAATAAACATGGAATGGGCTGGACAGATAGTTCAGTGGGTAGGGCACCTGCCTTGCACACAGCCAACTTGGGTTCAGTCCCGCCACCCTACATGTCACCCACAAGGGTCAGCCTGAGCAGTAACTCTGGAATAACCAAGCTGGGTTCTGTGGGTAGCCTGACCCCTACAAGGCCAAGCTGGAGTGGAGTAGTGAGGCCAGTTCCGTTTTTAGTTGACAGGTGGCCTTGTCACAGAATCCCACCAAGCGTGGATTTCATTGCCTTCTTGCCTTTCATCTCAGCTGAAGAACCAACCCTGTCTCAGCACCCCAGGAAGATGGACTTCACGCCTGGTGAGGCCGGCTGGCACAGGCGAGCCCTGGCCCCCAAACTGTTCAAACCGGAGCTCTGCCTCGTCCCTCCCGCTGAGGGCAGTTCCGGGCTTACTGGATATGCCCAATGCAAAGGCCGAGAATTCTCCTTAGTTAGCTAGGCGTCCGCCTCCTCTGATCACCAGAGTCGGGTCAGTGATCCAGGATACATCGCTGCTACCTTGACCCTTCATTGTCTCTTGCCCTGGCACCACCTGGGGCCAGCCAGGCACCTGAGGTGCCTTCCTTCCCAGCTATGGGTTGGGGCTCCCCGGCCCCAAGCCCACGTGTGCGCACCCAGGAAACTCCGTGCTTTTTCAAGTTTCTCTGCGTTCATGAATTTCTCTAAAGAGAAGGACCTGGGGCTGGAGAGATAGCACAGAGGGTAGGGCATTTGTCTTGCACGCAGCCAACCTGGATTCGATTCCCAGCATCCCATATGGTCCCCTGAGCACCGCCAGGAGTGATTCCTGAGTGCAGAGCCAGGAGTAACCCCTGTGCAATGCCGGGTGTGACCCAAAAAGAAAAAAAAAGAACCCAGGAGCTAGTCAATCACAAAAGGTTAGATGCCCCTTTGCTCAAGATTTGGGGTCCTGAGGTTGAACGATAGTAACGTGGGTACAGCATTTGCCTTGCATGCAGTTGACCTGGGCACGATCTCCAGCATCCCATATGAACCCCTGAGCACCGCCAGGAGTGACCCCTGAGCCCAGAGCAAAAATAAGCCCTGAGCATTCTCAGCTTTGTCCCCAAAACAAAAGGTTTGGGGTCCTGTACCCACTGGCAAGGCCCTGGGCAAAAAGGATGAGAAAGTCTGAATCTTTCCCATCCAGTGTGATTGCGTCCAAAGAAATCTCTGTGGCATTGAGAAGAAATGACCACAATGAAATTTAGATGGTGCTTCAATACTGTGGTTCCACGGCTGCTGGAGCCTGGATTTAGGCACCTGACACTGAGTTAGGCGTCCGTGGGACCTGGGAGAAGGCCGTGCAGAAAGTGGTGGCCACCTAAGCTAGCTGAAACCTACCGTGAAGGGGGACCCGGAATCCCTGTATCTGAAACCATAACACCCTTGAAAGTTAAAGCTCTGGGGGAAAAATATTTCTTCATATCCTTGACACCAAAACTGATTTAGCAACAACCATCTGACATGAACGGACAGGAGACTGGCCTCATGTCTTTCACACCAGGTGAAAAGTCATAGAAGCTGTGACTGAGCATGCCCCGCCGCCTACTGGGGGAGTTACAGAAAATACTGCATGGAGGCAGGAGGGCTAGGGCGGCCTTATATGTGGCCAACCCATCAGTACCTAGCATCTCTTATGGTCTCCGGAGCAACACAGGAGTAATTCCTAAGTGCAGATTCAGAAGTTAGCCCTGAGCATCTCCAGGTATGGCCCAAACCCCAACCCCAACCAGCATCAATGCCATCAAAAAGTAACCCTTGAGGGGTTCGGAGTCATAGTACAGAAGGTAGGGCATTTGCCTTGCACCCAGCCGACCCGGGTTCGATGGTCGATGTTCGATGGTTCAACATATGGTCCTCCAAGCACTGCCAGGAGTAATTCCTCAGTGCAGAGCCAGGAGGAACCCCTGTGCATCGCCAGGTGTGACCCCCCCCAAAAAAAGTAACCCCTCAGGAGCTTGAGAGAGTATTATACCTAAGGCAAATGCCTTACACCACCCAACTGGAGTTTGATCCCTAGAACCCCCTGTGGTCCCCCCGAGGCTCTCCAGGAGTGACCCCTGAGGACAGAACCAAGATTAAGTCCTGAGCATCATTAGATGTGGCCCAAAAACCAAATGGAAAGAAATCAGTAATCCCTCAAATTCAGAAGCGTCCCAACCCTGAGCATTCATAGCCAGGATCGTGGATTTAGACACCTGACAGTGAGTTAGGTGTTGGTGGGACTCGGCGAGAAGGCAGCACAGGAAGTGGGGGTCACCTGAGCTAACGGAAACCCCAGTAAGGGTGGACCCGGAACCCCTGTATCTGAAAGCGTGAAGGTTTGCTCTCACTTGGCTTTCTTGTGTGTGTTACATTCTTCGAAATAAATCTCAGCTGCATCTTTAATACAAGTGTTCTGTATCTCGGATCCTGGCACCGTGTCTGCAGCGCTTGGTCCGGGTCTACCCTGGAATGATAGTCATTGCCCGGTCTATTTTTAATCCTTCTATTCCCTTACAGCACATGCTTTCCCTGTGTCTGCCAAAGACACTTTGGCAGCGAGTACTCAATTCATTAGCACGTTGGCACCAGTCTGTAGCTCGGTGTCATGAATTCAAGTGTGAGCCGTGTTTGAATTCATGTTTGAATTGGTCCACGCCCGCAGTCAGCATGGGAAGGCTGGGGATGCTAGAATTCCCGCCCGCCAGAGGCCAGGGCGGCCCCATCTGCCCAGGCTCTGGTTTATCTGAAATGAGTTGGCTGGGAGCACAGCAAAGGAGTCACTGACAGGGCTGAGGACAGCTGCCTTGGGACAATTTTCTTCTTTTTTTTTTTCTCCTTTTTGGGTCACACCTGGCGATGCTCAGGGGTTCCTCCAGGCTCTGTGGCTCTGCACTCAGGAATTACTCCTGGCGGTGCTCGGGGGACCATATGGGATGCTGGGAATCGAACCTGGGTCAGCCGTGTGCAAGACAAATGCCCTCCCCGCTGTGCTATTGCTCTGGCCCTCAGGATGATTTTCACTCTCCAGCTTGAGAGGCTGATGACAGCATCTTTTATGGTCGAAAAATAATTTTTAATAGGGAAAAATTCTGTGGATGATAGCACAGCGGGTAGGGCGTTCGCCTTACAAGCGGCCAAAATGGCCGACCCGAGTTCGATTCCTCCGCCCCTCTCGGAGAGCCCGGCAAGCTACCGAGAGTATCTCGCCCGCACGGCAGAGCCTGGCAAGCTCCCCGTGACGTATTCGATATGCCAGACACAGTAACAACAAAGTCTCCAATGGAGACGTTACTGGGCCCGCTCGAGCAAATCGACGATCAACGGGAGGGGCTTTACCTTACCTTAGGGAAAAATTCTGTGGATGATAGCAGAACTTCAGTGTGATAGAGTTTCTGGAATGTGGGTGGGGGGGCGGTTTGATTTTGTTCTTTTGGGACTTGGGGGTCACACCACGTGTGCTCAGGGTTTATTGCTGGCGCTGTGCTCAGGGGTGACTCTGGCGGGGCTTGGGGGGCTCTGAGCAGGCTCCCCACCCACTGAACTGTTGCTCTGGCTCCAAGGATCCCCGATTTTCCCCCGTGTACCTTGCCCAGGACCACGTAGTGTTTCAGAGTCTGACGCGTCCTATTTGCCAGCCGGTCGCCCTCCACACTGCGTGACCACAGGGTCAAGTCCTCCAGCCCGCATGTGGCAGGAAGGGGGCTTGTGTGGCACCGCGCTCGCTCCATCTAGCCTCAGGGAAACTCCCCTGCCAGGGTCAGGCCCCCAAAGTGTGGACAATAGTGCAAGCACTTCGGTCAAGTTGAGTCATGGTAGCATGACAGGGCTGAAGACAAACAGCCCTGTCCCCCCTCCCCAGTGCCCTTTCTCTGTCTGGGATTTATATTTACTGCAATCACATTGGTCTACAGGGGTGAATGTTTCCATGCCTCAGAATTTTTTTGGCTTTTTGTCTTTTGGGGGTCACCCTCAGCAATGCTCAGGGGTTACTCCAGGCTCTGCACCCAGGAGTTACTCCTGGCAGTGCCTTGGGAACCATAAGGGATGCTGGGAATCAATTCCAGGTGAGCCGTGTGCAAAGCCAACGCATGATCTGCTGTGCTATCACTCCAGCCCCTCTTCAGATTATTTTTGGGGTGGGGGGACACACCTAGTGCTGCTCAGGGGTTACTCCTGGCTCTGTGCTCAGGAATCACTCCTGGAAGTGTTCAGGGGACCCTATGGGATGCCAGGGATCCAACCCAGGTCAGCCGTGTGCAAGGCAAATGCCGTCCCCACTGTGCTATCGCCCTCCACCCCTTTTGAAGCCAGCCTGTCCCACTGGGCAGCCAGGAGCGAGTACCAAGGAATGTCACCCCTGACACGTTCCAGTGGGACAGGCCAACTGTTCCCACCATGTTCAGCCTCGGGCGTTGCGGAACTGAGAGACAGGCTACCTGAATGTGCGCTGTGAGTGGCTCTGGGGGTTCTCCTGGGGGCATAGGGGATGTCCCCACACGTTGCTGGACTCCCCCATTGTACTCTGGCTACCCGGTAACAGAGTGGGGAGGATTACACCCCACAACTGAAGCATCTCCTTAAACCCTAACCTCAGCAAGCTCACTGGGGTTCCGTTTGGGGACCACAGTCAGTGGGTGCTCAGAACCTATCACTGGCTCTGGGCACAGGACTGCCTCTGGAAGTGCCCAAGGAACCAAATGTGATGGCAGGGATGGAACCAGGATCAGCCACATGAAGGCAACTGCCTTAACCACTGCACTCTCCAGCCCACAGACAGCTAGCTCTTTTTTTTTCTTTAAATGCTTTTTGGGTCACACCCGGCGATGCACAGGGGTTATTCCTGGCTCATGCACTCAGGAATTACTCCTGGCAGTGCTTGGAAGACCATATGGGATGCTGGGAATCAAACCCGGGTCAGCCATGTGCAAGGCAAACGCCCTTCCCGCTGTGCTATCACTCCAGCCCATTATAAATTTATTTACTGAATCACCGTGAGAACAGTCACAAAGCTTCCGGGTTTAAGTCTCGGTCATACAATGATGAAAGACCCGTCCCTTCACCAGTGCACATTTTCCACCACCAAAAACCCATGGCCAGCTCTTAATGCAAGCTCTCCTGATTACTGGTATAGGGTTTTTTTTTTCTTTTTCTTGGGGGGGGGGGTAGTGGGAGTGGTGGGGGCCCATACCCAGCAATGCTTGGGGGATTCCTCCTGGCTCTGCACTCAGAAATCACTCCTGACTGTGCTCTGGAGATCCTGTGGGATGCCAGGAATCTAATGCAAATCAGCCGTGTGCAAGGCCAACACCCCACACACACACTGTGGTGCAACCGTTCTGGCCCCTTCTGGTATAGCTTTTATAGTAGAAATCAGTGCAGCCTCTGCAGACACTCAGTTTTCAATCTACCCTGCATCCTTTAGTGGTTCTATCCCCTTGGACACTCGGCTTTGAAACACAGGGCTTTACAGTGGACTGTGGCAAGTCAGGGTTCACTGAGATATTGTCGCACAAAACACCTGGCCTAGGAGCTGGAGGAGGGCCCAGGGGCTAAGGGGCTGCTTGCTGCTGATCCCCATTCCATGTCCAGCACCACAGCTTCCCCCAAGACCCTCAGGAGCAACCCCCCTTCCAACCAAGCAGAGAGCTGGGACTAGCCCCGGAACCTCTGGCATGAACATACTTGCATGAACAGTGTTAGGAGCACGTCTCTTGGGGAATCACGAACTCGCTTCTCTGCTTGCACAGGCCTCCAGCAGCTCGAGTGGAGCAGCCCGGCCCTGCACCCCCAGCTCGGCATGCTGGCCCAGAGGAGGGACGCCGTGACCCACCGGGTCCTCTCCGCCAGGCTGCACAAGATCAAGGAGCTGAAGAATGAGCTGGCGGACATCACGCGCAGGCTGGAGGCCACCATCATCGAGAACCAGTTCCTGAAACAGGTTCAGTTCCGGCACCTGAAAGCCATCGGCAAGTACGAGAACTCGCAGAACAATCTGCCGCAGATCGTGGCCAAGCACCAGAACGAGGTCAAGAACCTGCGGCAGCTGCTGAAGAAGTCGCAGGGCAAGGAGAGGAGCGTGGTTCGGAAGCTCCGGGAGACCGACCAGGAGCTGCTCAAGACCAAGGATGCCCTGCTGGGCCTGCAGCGCCTCTCGGAGGACAAGAACCTGGCGGAGCGCGAGGAGCTGACCCAGAAGCTGTCTGCCCTCACCGCCAAGCTGGAGGCGAACGACAAGAAGATACAGGTGTGTCCTCTGAGGCTGAGGCCGAGGAGGAGGCCGGGAGGGGAGGTGGGTGGCTGGCAGGTGGGTCATGTTGCGGCTGTGGCATGTTCGACATCCCCACTGCGTGTCCCGGGAGCTTCAGCCTGCAGGAACTGCCCGGCCCAAGCCCTCAGTCCAGCGCTCGCGCTCTCTCTCTCTCTCTCTCTCTCTCTTTCTCTCACTCTCTCTCTATATATATATACATATTATATATAATATATATGGAGTAGCTCTATTTTCCCGTTGTTCATTGATTTGCTCAAGCGGGCACCAATAATGTCTCCATTGTGAGACTTGTTACTGTTTTTGGCATATCAAATATGCCACAGGGAGCTTGCCAGGCCCCAGTATGCAGGCGGGATACTCTCGGTAGCTTGCTGGGCTCTCCGAGAGGGATGAACGAATCAAACCCAGGTCTGCCACGTGCAAGGCAAACGCCCTCCCCAGTGTGCTATTGCTCCAGCCCGATAATGTAGGAGTACTGCTATTTATTCAGCCATTGATTAAGCTGATTGAATTGGTATGAACTCCACGTTAATTTTTTTAATTCAGAATGTTAATTTTATTTTACTATCTTTTTTAATTATTATTTTTTGTAGGAGTACTGCTATTTATTCAGCCACTGATTAGCTGATTGAATTGTACATGAACTCCACCTTACTTTTTTTTTCACTTTTTATAATTTATTGAATCACTGTGAGAGCAGCCACAAAGATTTTGGGTCCAAGTCTTGGTCATACAATGAAACACCCGTACCTTCACCAGTGTCCATTCTCCACCACCAAAAACCCCAGTATACCCCCACCCCACACTCTCCCCCTACCTGTGGGGCAGATGATTTCCACATTACTCTCTCTCTACTTTGATCACATTCAATATTTCGACACCAGACCCACCATTATTATTTGAGATTTTACCCCAACACTCAGATCTGCTGAAAAGGCAACAATAGACAATTTGTGTTCTATTGCTGGTTATGAATAACATATGATGTCGTGTGGCTGCAATCGGGCCATGTGGTTTTGAAATTCCGAAATTTTAACACTTAAATCTGGAGGGATTTCTGCTTGGCAGAAAGCCACTGGGTTTCGAGATCTGCTCCTGAGTCTCTGGGATCATGGCCATTGAGCAGCTTGATGAGGAGCCAGAGAGGCCGTTCGTGGGCGATGACTTGGGGTCTCATTGGGGTGGGGAGGACAGGCCTGGCTCCACCCCATCCCATGAGGCCCAACAAGTTTCGTCACTGCGGGCCCATGCCTGACTGTCCACTGGCCTCTGGAGGATGACGGCCACTGAGCTGCCAGAAGGAAACAGGCAGAGGGACAGCACCCTTTCCCCCCTGGGGTGGCCCAGCGACAGTAACCTACTGCAGGGTCTGGACACATTTCTGCCAAAAGTCGCTGGGCTTCGAGATTTGTTTCTGAGTCTCTGGGATCAAGGCCATTGAGCAGCTTGATGAGGAGCCAGAGAGGCCGTTCGTGGGCAATGACTTGGGATCTCGTTGGGGTGGGGAGGACAGGCTCAGCTCCCCCCCCCCCCCCATCTCGTGAGGCCCAACAAGTTTCGTCACTGCGGGCCCATGTCTGACTGTCCAGTGGCCTCTGGAGGATGACGGCCACCAAGCCGCCAAGAGGGAGCAGGTGGAGGGACAACACCCTTTCCTCTCTGGGGTGGCCTGGCGACAGTAATGTACTGTAAGGTCCGGATGCATTTCTGCCAAATGGATTTTGAGATTTGTTTCTGAGTCTCTGGGATCATGGTCGTTAAGCAGCTTGCTCTGGAGCCAGAGAGGCCATTCGTGGGCGATGACTTGGGGTCTCATTGGGGTGGGGAGGACAAGCCTGGCTCCACCCCTATCCCGTGAGGCCCTGTGTGTCTCGTCACTGGGGGCCCAAATGTGACTATCCAGTGGCCTCAGAAGGATGGCGGCCACTGGGCCGCCAGGGGGAACAGGCCAAGGCACGAAACCTATTCCCACCTGGGTTGGGCCAGCACCAGTAGCCTACTGCAGAGACAGGACGCATTTCTACCTAAAGCCGCTGGGTTCCGAGATTCATTTCTGAGTCTCTGGGATCATGGCCATTAAGCAGTTCAATAAGGAGCCAAAGAGGCCTTGCCTCCAATTATATAGCTGAGCCAGAGGTGGTTTGTGGGTGTGTTTCCCACATACCTAACTTTTGGCCGTTTACTTTCTTGGTAAACTTTGCCCCATGTTTTTGGGGTCTGACCAAAGGCACAGCAGCAATTTTGGGGTATCTGGAAGTCTGAAGGCGCCATGAGGCTGCTGATGCACTCACCTCACAGGTACAGATTGACCTGCTGGCGGCACCATACCCCCTTATTATTTATTTTTTTTTATCCACGTGAGATAGTTACAAAGCTTTCCTGTTTGAGTTTCAGTCCATACAGTGATCGATCACCCAACCCTCCACCAGTGCACATTCTCCACCACCAAGGTTCCGCGGTATCCCCCCCATCCCATCCCTCCCCCTGCCTCTATGGCAGACACTCTCCCCCATACTCTCTTTTGTATTGTATTATGAATAGCATAAGATGTCACAGCTGTGCTCTCCTGGAATTCTAAAATTTTAGATAATTAGGGTCTGGAGAAATCTCTGCGGCAAGCTACTTGGTTCAAAGGTTTGGGTTTTTTGTTTTTTTTTTTGGTTTTTGGTTTTTGGTTTTGCTTTGTGGGTCACACCTGGCGATGCTCAGGGGTTCCTCCTAGCTCTGCACTCAGGAATTACTCCTGGCAGTGCTCGGGGGATCATATGGGATGTTGGGGATCAAACCCGGGTCAACCGTGTGCAAGGCAAACGCCCTATCTGCTCCAGCCCCTCATCATGCTTTTTGCTCTCTGTAGCTCACATATTCTTTTATCCTTTTAGTTTTTGTTTGGGGACCATTTTATGTGAGAAAATTCTCTCTGAAAACAGGGGAGGGTTTTTATTAGGAAGGAACTCACTGATTGAAGTAGAAGATATGGGGGTATGATGCCGCCAGCAGGTCAGTCTGTACCTGTGAGGCAAGTGCATCAGCAGCCTGATGGCGCCTGGCGCCTTCAGACTTCCAAATACCCCAAAATTGTTGCTGTGTCTTTGGCCAGACCCCAAAAACTTGGGGCAAAGTTTACCAAGAAAGTAAATGGCCAAAAGGTAGGTATGTGGGAGACACACCCACAAACCACCTCGGGCTCAGCTATATAATTGGAGGCATGGCCTCTCTGGTTCCTGATCGAACTGCTTAACGGCCACGATCCCAGAGACTCAGAAACAAATCTTGAAACCCAATGACTTTCGGCAGAAATGCGTCCGGTCCCTGCAGTAGGTTATCAGCGCCGGGCCACCCCAGGTAGGAATAGGTTTCGTGCGTTGACCTGTTCCCCCTGGCTGCCCAGTGGCTGCCATCCTCCAGGGGCCATTGGACAGTCAGGTTTGGGCCCTCAGTGACAAGACACGCGGGGTCTCACAGGATGGGGGTGGAGACGGCCCTTTCCTCTCCATCCCAACAAGACCCCAAGTTGCCATCCACAAACGACCTCTCTGGCTCCTGCTTAACAGCCATGATCCCAGAGACTCAGGAACAAGTCGAGGAACCCAGCAGATTTTAGCAGAAATCCCTCCAGATTTAATTGTTAAAATTCCATAATTTCAAAATCATGTGGCCACTACTGCAGGCCACACACAGCCATGCGACATCATATGTTATTCATAACCAGCAATAGAAAACAAATTGTCTACTGTTGCCTTTTCGGCAGATCTGAGTGTTGGGGTAAAATCCCAAGTAATAATGTTGGGTGTGGTGTTGAAATGTTGAATGTGATCAAAGTAGAGAGAGAGTAATGTGGAAATCATCTGCCCCACAGGTAGGGGAAGGGTGCGGGATGGGGGTATACTGGGTTTTTTGGTGGTGGAGAATGGGCACTGGTGAAGGTACGGGTGTTTCATTGTATGACCGAGACTTAAACCCAAAAGCTTTGTAACTGCTCTCTCAGTGATTCAATAAATAAAATTATAAAAAATGAAAAAAAAAAAAGTAAGGTGGAGGTAGGCCCAATTCAATCAGCCTAATCAGTGGCTAAATAAATAGCAGTACTCCTACATTAAAAAAAAAAAAAGAAGTAGATAAAAATGAATGAACTTAATCTTATTTCAAGACCACGGGATTCTGTCAGGAGTTTAGGAATGAAACAGGCCATTTGCATCTAAGTCCAAAGAGACAAAAAACAGGGGCGGGCGCGAGAGCACAGAGGGGAGGGCATCTGCCCTGCATGCAGCCCAGCTGGGTTCCATTCCTGGCATGCCACTGGGTTCCCCGAGCACTGCCGGGAGTGATTCCTGAGTGCGGAGCCAGGAGTAATCCCTGAGCATCGCTCTGTGTGACCAAACAAAAGAGCAAAAAAAAAAAAAAAGAAGCAGCAGCATGGTGGGATCTGCAGATGGAGGCCCTTAGAGTGACCGAGGTGCTGGGTGGTGGTGCTGGGAGGGAGGGAGCTCTGTAGGAGTGTGTGTTGGCGGGGTGGGGTTGAACTCAGGACTCCAGCTACAGAGCATCTGCCCAGCCGCTGAGCACCTGCTCTCCTCCCTCTCGCCCTTGCTCGCTCTGGCCCCTACACCTTGGCTGCTGCTGCTTGTACACAGAATACAGAACAAAGTTCTGTCACGAATATTAGATACATCTTCGCATGTGTCTGTTATGTCACAGAAAACATTTATGTCTCATGTATGTTTATTTTTACATATAAATGTTCAAATCCTTCACGTTTTTCTCTATAGGCACAGAACCAAAGTGAATTCAAGGACTAATTCACTCTGGGGCTGGAGAGAGAATACAGCAGGTAGCGGACAGGGGGCTTGACTTTTTCCATCCCCAGCATCCCACAGGGTCCCCCGAGCACCGGCAGGAGTGATTTCCTGCCAGGAGTAACCCCTGAGCATCAGCAGATGTGGCAAAAAAAAAAAAAATGCATTGAAATCTTGCACATCTCGGGACTGGAGGGATAGCACAGCGGATAGGGCATTTGCCCTGCACGTGGCAGACCAGATTCAATCCCCAGCATCCCATATGATCCCCTGAGCACCACCAGGAGTAATTCCTGAGTGCATGAGCCAGGAGTAACCACTGTGCACCACCAGGTGTGACCCAAAAAAAGAAATCCTGCACGGGGGCTGGAGCAATAGCACAGCGGGGAAGGCATTTGCCTTGCATGCGGCCAACTCAGATTCAATTCCCAGCATCCCATATGGTCCCCCGAGCACCGCCAGGAGTAACTCCTGAGTGCAGAGCCAGGAGTAACCACTGTGCATAGCTGAGTGTGATCCAAAAAGTAAAAAAAAAAAAAAAGAAAGAAAAAAGAAAAAAGAAAGAAAGAAATCTGGCACATCTCATAAATATAAACATAGCTAATCCCGTTATCTTGGGTCCCAGAGAGATGAAATCTGTACTATTTCCAGAGGCTGGAAAAACAACTGAGGCTGAACAACAAAGCCTTCAGCCAGCAGCTGGCCACGGAGAACCGGAAGTGTCTGGCTGCTCAGACAACCAGCAAGACGCTGCAGATGGAAATGAAGCGACTCCAACAAAAACTTAAGGTACCCATCCCCCAGATTGGGGCAAAGCTGAGACATGCTGCTTCCCAGAATATTCCAGATGCTGACCAAGCCTGCCTTGCCTCTGAGTTATTTAACTTTGGGGATAGTCCGCAAATCGCCTTTCTCTCCTACCAGCCTGCAATTTCCCGGGAGATGTTGTCATTAGAAAGAATTCACAGGACGGGCCGGAGCTGTAGTCCAGCGGGGAGGGCACCTGCCTGACATGTTGCGGACCGGGGTTCGATCCCCGGGATCCCATATGGGCCCCTGAGCACTGCCCAGGAGTAATCCCTGAGTGCAGATCCAGGAGTGATCCCTGAGCTCCTTTGGGTATGTGCCCTCTCCACCACCACCAAAAAAAAAAAAAAAAAGAACAACAATAAGAAAGAAAAATGAACCTGGGTCAAGCATGTACAAGGCACGTGCCCTGCCCGCTGTCCCATCACTGCAGCCAGAAAACAGTTGTGCTGGGGCTGGAGCAATAGCAGAGCAGGTAGGGCGTTTGCTTTGCACACAGCCGACCTGGATTCGATTCCCAGCATCCCATATGGTCCCCCAAGCACTGCCAGGAGTGATTCCTGAGTGTATGAACCAGGAGTAACTCCTGTGCATTGCCGGGTGAGACCCAAAAAAGCAAAAAAAAATAAATAAATAAATGGTTGTACTGTGGTTCTCTGTAGGAGAAGGAGCGGGAGTTGGAGATCAGAAACATCTATACCAACCGGATTCTGAAGAACTTATGCGAGCCTCAAGACGATCTGAAAGGTATGCTTGAACTCGTTTGGCTCAAAATCTACCATCAAGGACCTACTCAGATTTTTTTTCCCCAGCCGAACCATTTCTAAGAATGGCTGTGTTTGGCACTGGGCCATCTCTGGGGGTGGGGGTGGGGCTGTTCTGGTGTGATATGGTGAGAAGAGCTAGAAAAGAAGCTTGCTGTCCAGCACCCCCCATTCTCTGACCAGCACCCCTGTTCCTCCCTGGAGACACTCTGGAGTTTTTCAGCTGGAAGCAAACAGTTTGCCCGAGTCTCTCTGTTTCAGTTTCAGAACAACACCTGATGCGCTCGGGGGTGACTCCTGGCTCTGTGCTCAGGGTGCACCGCGGTGCTGGGGACTGAACCCCAACCTCCCACAAGACGTCCCTCCGCCCCAAATATGGCGCTTTCCCTGTGTGCGTTCCTCCACCCAGCAGGATCCAGGGACACAGGCTCCAAGAGACGCCCCATCGCATGGGTGTGGGGCCATGGCTTCCCCAAACCACAGTCAGGGCAGAGAACAGCTCTGGCTCCCCGCAAAGCTCCCCACAAAGTCCCCTGGCTCTATCTACTCTGCCCCCAGCCTTTTGCCCCCACCACCTGTCCTGGAATCCCCTGTGCCCTGCCCTGCAGCCTCCTTCCACTGCCGGCACAGGCTGGAGATGCCAGCCCCGCCCACCCCGAGACCTTCTGGACTCCCAGACTGAGGCAGGCTAAGAAGGAGTGAGACAGGCTGTTTCCACAGCTGGAACTATGCATCAGCTCTCCCCACGGCTCTGTCTCTCCTGCCTGTATCCAGAAAACAGATTAGTGTGCGGTCAGCCACAGTATGACTGCATCCCAATGGCCGCTGGACCATGAGTCTCACAGATACCACAGTATGACCACATCCCGATGGCCACTGGACCTCACACCTCACAGAGATTCACAGTATGACCGCATTCCGACGGTCACTGGACCATGCGGCTCACAGATGCGCAGCATGACCATATCCCGATGGCCACCGGACCACGCGGCTCACAGATGCAAATTATGACTGCATCCCAATGGCCACTGGACCACACGACTCACAGAGATGCACAGTATGACCACATCCCAATGACCACAGGACCATGTGGCTCACAGAGATACACAGTATGACCGTATCCCAATGGCCACTGACCCATGCAGCTCACAGATGCAAAGTATGACTGCATCCCGATGGCCACTGGACCACACAGCTCACAGAGATGCACAGTATGACCACATTCCGACAGTCACTGGACCACACGGCTCACAGATCCACAGTATGACCGCATCTGCCCTGTGAGTCAATGACAGTGGAACTGAAATGACAGCCCCCAGAGGCGGTATCTCACCAGCTGGCCCAGGGGTCCAGGATTTCTTACCTTTGTTGCTGTTACTGTTTAGGGGCCATAGCTGGCCGGAGTCTGGTTCTTGCCAGCGTGTGTTCTGTGGCATCAGCCACCTGCTGAGAGTTCCTTTAATAGGGTAAAACTTCAGAGTGGAGGGCAGAGGGAAGCTTCAGGGGCTGAAGCACAAGCTCAAGAGAAAAGCAAACCTGCGAGAACACTGTTGTGATGACCATGAGTCCAGGCTCAGAACCTCTCCCCACACATGTCTGCAGGAAGGGACATGGGTGCCCCGGCCATGTGGCTCCTGACTGACATCCCCATGATGTCCTTAATCCCTGCGCCCAAATAAGATGAAACAAGCAGAAGGGCATACAGTGGGGAGGGCGTTTGCCTTGTGCTGCCGACCCAGGTTCTATCCCCGGCATCGCATATGTCCCTCAAGCACCACCAGTAGGGGCTGGAGCGATAGCACAGCGGGTAGGGCGTTTGCCTTGCACACGGCCGACCCAGGTTCAAATCCCAGCATCCCATATGGTCCTCTGAGCACCGCCAGGATTGATTCCTGAGTGCAGAGCCAGGAGTAACCCCTGAGCATCGCCAGGTGTGACCCAAAAAGCGAAAAGCAAAAAAAAAAAAAAAAAAAGCACCATCAGGAATAATTCCTGAGCAGAGCCAGAAGTTACACCCGAGTATGGTCGGGTATGACATAAAAACAAAGACCAAAAAAAAAAAAAAAAAGAAGAAGAAAAACAAGGGAAATGGCAAGGGAAGAAGGGAACAGGCGAGTGCTAAGCTGGTTCTAGGAAGTACTGATGACTTTGTTCCGTCTGCAGGATTGTTCCGTAGAGCCTGTGTCTGAACTATGTCATTCCTCTCTAGTTTCTTCTACAAAAGCAACCCAGGTGGACAAGAAAAGTTACCCGCTTGTGATGATGAAACACCAGGAGACCCAGAAATCCTACGATGTGCCAGCTGTGACAGCCAAGGTACAGAGACCCGCACCCAGCTGGGAGACTGGCCGGGCGCATGGGCACAGAGAAGCAGGGCTGCCACCTCTGTCGCCGTCGGCAGTCGGAATCCCACGACACAGAGAGCATCTGTCACCCAAGGGGGATGTTGGCGCTGCTCTCTCCATTGCAGGCGAAAAAGAAAGTAGGAAGCTCCGGTCCTAAGGAGAAAGCGGCAGCCAGCGCCTGCCCCACCCCGCCCAGTGCCAGCAAGCACCCCAGCCAGGAGGACCCCAGGAGAAGACACCACGGTGATTCACCAGCCAGTGAAGGCTTCAGGGACCCCCTAACATAGCTGGGCCCCTGTAATAAGGACTGGGCTCCCCTAACATGGGCTGGGACCCCAATAAGGACCGAGACCCTCTAACATGGCTGGGCCCCATAACAAGGACTGGGACCACCTGACATAGGCTGCCCCCCTCCACCACCAATAACGGCTGGTTCTCCACCTTCCCTGGGCTAGAAGCATCTCTCCTGCCAGTCCCTCAGTGGACTGTACTTCCATCATTCCCTAACCCCGCCCCCCCCTTGAGACATCCAGATACCACAAGAACTAAGCCATGCAGTGGGCCAACCCCTGAGACCTATTTCTGGGGGTGTGCCTGAGCTGGTGACCTATTTGCCTGTGTGTGCATGCTTGTGTGTGTGTGAGTGTACATATGTCTGTGTATATGTGTGTGCATGTGCCCATGTGTAGATGCTTGTATGAGCATGTGTACCTGTCTGTGTGCGTGTGCATGTGTGCGTGTACCAATGTGCATGTACCCATGTGCATGCTTTTGTGTGAGCATGTGTGTGTGAGTGTGGGCATGTACCTGTATGTGTGCGTGTACTGGTGCGTGTGCATGCATGTATGCGTACGTGCACACTGACAATTCTGCAGGCCGTCTGGGGAGATAAAGAGGATTTTTGAGGTGGCCGGTCCCAGTTCCATCCCAGGCCCAGCTGGGGGCAGCCCCGGGCATCCATGGCCCCGAAAAGGATGGGAACCAATCTCCGCGCTTTAACCTGGGCGAGGTTCCCGGGAGCTGAGCCGGCTGCAAAGACTCCAAGTGGCGCTGAGTCCCGGGGGACCCTGCCCGGGGTTCCCGGCCTCCCCGCGGGCATGGACAGTAACAAGCCAGCCTACCCACCCTGTTAGGCCCTGCCCACTCTGCCCAGAGCTGGCCGTCCAACCGTCCAACCACCGACCCGCCTCTCCTCCCTCCCTCTCCCACAGATCCAGCCTGGGGACAGGAGCCGGCGGGGACGGAGGTGCCCGCGTCCCTGGACAGTGCTGGGAGACTGGGAGACAGGGCCGCTCCCGAGAAGGGCGCGGCGAGGACCCCCGAGCAGGAGCTGCCCGCGAAGTGCCTCCCGGCGGCCGGCCCGGAGCAGGAGCGCGAGCGTGACCGAACACCGGAGAGGGAGCGCGAGTGGACACCGGAGAGGGAGCGCGAGCGGGCACCGGAGAGGGAGCGCGAGCGGGCACTGGAGCGGGAGCGGGCACTGGAGCGGGAGCGGGCACCGGAGCGGGAGCTGGCAACGGAGCGCGAGCGGGTACCGGAGCGCGAGCAGACAGCAGAGGCGCCCCCCGAGCCGTCGGCGCCCCCCAGGAGCCGACCCCCACTCCGGCCACGCAAGCACTACTCCTTCACGGAGGTGATTGAGAACTTGCACCACGGGCTGCCGGCGGCGGGCGCCGGGGTGGGTGCAGGACCCCGGCCCGGCCGCCCGCGTGCGCGCCCGGACGCGGCCACCTGCGCCTACGAGCCGTCGCTGGGCCGCGCGCGCCGCGCGCTCCGGGACAGGAAGAGCAGCCTGATGGAGGAGCTGTTCGGGGCCCCCGGCCAGCCGCCCCCCGGCCAGGCCCCGGCCAACAACGCCTTCGGGGACTCCAGAGTGACCATGCCCGACTCGGTGCCGTCGCCGTCCCCCCCGGAGGGCAAGAGGAAGATAATCATCTAAATAAAGTCGCTCCTGAGCTTGGTTGGCCAACGCTAGTTCTTGGGCATCTGGGAGTCAGTCCGGCGAATAACCAGGGCGTGCGCATGGCTAACGCAGGGGGAGCTTGGCTAACCAGGGGGATGCACTCGGGTAACGCAGGGGTACGCTCAGCTAACCGAGGGGTGCACTGGGCTAACGCAGGTGTGCTACGCTAACGCAGGGGGAGTGTGCTCGCTCGGAAAGGGCAGCGCTCGCAGGGAAGGCTGGAGCCCACTGACCCTGGCTTCATCCACGGCACCACACCCCTAAGCACAACAGGGTGTGACCCTAGCACATACACACACACACACACACACGCACACGCAAGACACTATCCGGGCCCTAATGCGCGCGCACACAGACACAGACACACACGATCACGCGCACTCACACACACACAGACGAGAAGATACTACCGGGCCCCCAGAGCACTGCAGAGTGGGTGCTCTCCTCGCACGTGGCCGACCTAGCTTCACTCCTTGGCACCCCATATGGTGCACTCCCCGCCTCCCCCGACCCATGATCCCAGAGCAGAGGCAGGAGCAAACCATGGGAACCACCAGTTGTAATCCAAAATCAGGGGTGGGAAAAAAACTCTGAGACAATTTTTGCTCCAAGTGTTTATGTGAGAGTCCTGTCCATGGGTCAGGCTGTGTTTCCTGGTAGTAGGATTTGGTTTGAGGGCACAGCCAGCAAGCCTCAGGAGCGACCCCTGGCGGTGCCTGGTGGGGGCAGCTGCCGGCAAGCGAAGGAGCTTACTTCCATGGAGGTAGTTATCAGTCCTCAGGTTCTCTTCCGGACTTCCCACACCCACCTCCAGTCCTTCCAGGGTCCGAGTTCATTGGGAAAGCACCCCGAGACGAGGTCAGGCATGCAGGGTGGTCTGCACCTGGCCTTGGACCCCTTTATTTCTATCCCACACAGTACCTGGCTCTGGCCTCACTTAGCATCACCCATCCCTTCCCTTGGCAAGGCCAGAGGAAAGGCTGGCCAGGGAGACCCTCGCCCATTGGCCTGGGGCCAGCCCTGCGAGCCCCCCACCCCCCACCCCCGGTTGGCTCTGGGCTGGGGGGAGGGGGATGACAGTACATGAGCCAGTCCTGGGGAGGCTGACCCCGGGCCACAAAGATCGGCCAGCACAGGCCAGCTGCGCTCCAGCCCACGGGGACCCCCCCCAACCCTCCTTAGTCTTCAGAGACAGGGCAAGGAGGGGTCCCAAGAGACCCACCAGAGTGCATAGCCAGCAAGCAGGGTCACCTGTCGGCCCCTTGTCATGAAGGAATCAGCCCCAGCCCAGGCTAGTCCCAGAGGAGGGAAGCCACAAAGACACTTGCAAAGCTTTTAATTAGGGGGAAAGTTTTCAAAACCGTGGTACCAGCTCTGACTACACTTTATGGATTAGACATTCAGCCATGGCAGCCAACTTAACCAAGGTGCCTGGGTTCAGGCTCTCTTAACCTGGGTCCAATCTACGAAGCATAAATACCACATAAAATACATCTCATCTGAAACTTAAAAAACAACTCAGGCACAAACAACGGTGCATCAGGTTGCAGGAAAACAATCAGAAAGGAAGAGACACTTCACAGAAACTTCATAGTGGCCAGAGGTTTGCCAGTGGGTGACATTTTCAACAACACTGATTAGTGTTATTCTCTTCGGAGCGCATGAAAGTTAGAAACACTTTGGGGCTCGGGGACGTGGCTCGGGGGGTAGCGCGTGACCTTCACGTTGCGACGGTCTGCACTGTTGGTACCCGGGACTGGAAAAACGTCGGTCAAGCAGCTTCTCTTTCCAAGAACCAACAGAAGATTTCGGCCACCTGGCTCCGGTCCCCAAAGCAGCAGCTGAGCATCACTGCTCTAAGGTACCAGGGCCTGCAGAATCCTGACTCTGCCACTGGTCCAGTGGACTTTGTGCCAATGTCGAGCACAAGACGTCGATGCCGTAATGACCCACATTTCTGGTGATCAGCCTGGTGCTCAGCTGGCCGGGTCACGGGGTTGCATACTGACCAGGCTTCTGGTCGGTGACAAGTCTTACAAACTGTGTTTCTTGTGAGACTCTCACATATTTTTGGACAGCACGTATTTGTGTTGAACAAATATGTGTTGTCAAAAAAAAAAAGGGGGGTGCCAAAGAGATAGTATAAAGGTTAGGACGCACCTTGCACGCACCCGGCCTGGGTTCGACCCCATCCACACAGCCTCCCTCCTGGGCATCATGGGGGGTGGCCGTGGGGGCCCCCCGGCACTCACATCCTGGGGTACTCGCACGGAAATGCTGGCCCAGAGGACCAAGCCTTACTGGGCACCACATGTGACCCCAGGTCCCAAACAACACATGAGGTAAAAAAACAAACAACAAACACACACACAAAACCTGTGCGCTCTTAAAAGAAAAACTAACTACAAAACAACAAAAGTCACGTGTTCAGCCAAACAGTGATTCCATTTTCAAAGACGTGGGCGCGGCCGCTGTCCTGGTCAGCTGAAGGGGTGGAGCACGATGGCCACGACCTTGTTGCACACCAAGATCCAGCAGGTGATCCCAACACCACCTGGAGGGGAGGGGGCGGTGTCAGTGCACAGCGGAACACAGCCTTTGGGCCCAGCCGGAACAGGCAGGCACAGGCCCCAGGCCCCCAACCAAAGCCATGAAGACAACAGAACATACACCCAACAACACACATCCTCCTGCTCTGCGCACAGCTGACCTGGGTTCCACCCCAGCACCTCCCGTGGTCTGAGCACCACCAGGAGCAACTCTTGAATGCAGAGCCAGGAGTGGTCCCAAAACCAAAAGAGGGAAAAGGGCTCAGGCCAGAGATGGGGCACAGCAGGGGGCACTGGCCCCGCACACTTGACCCACCTCCCCACCCAGCTCCACCAGGAGTGATCACTGGGCACTGCTCGATGTGGGCCTAACACAAAGCGAAAACTGAGAGAAAATGTGCCTCGGGCCAGGGTGCTAATACAGCGGGGAGGGCATTTGCCTGGCATGCGGCCAACCCGGGTTCGATCCCCGGCATCTCATATGGTCCCCGAGTACCACCGGGAGGAATTCCTGAGTGAAGAGCCAGGAGAAACCCCTGAGCATCGCTGGGTGTAACCCAAAAAGAAAAAAAAAAGGGGGGGGGGGGGTCTCGGCCACCCAAGCAGCTCGGATCCCAGCTTCTCACCACACTTGTGAGACAGAGGGCAACAGGGACCCCAGCGAGACTTACCTATACCCCAAAGGGCGCCCTAGCCCCCACCCGTGTTTTCTGGAAAATACTCACCTGCCACTCGGGTGGGAAACGCCACCAGGCGGTCCAGGGGGGTGATCCACTTACTGGGCACCACGGCCACGGGCACAGAGTAGTACTTCCAGATGAGCGAGACCATCAGGGCAGCCTGCAAAGACACGCCAGTGAGGACCCCGCAGGCCGCCGTGAGCACCTGGTGCCACGGCCGCCCTGAAACGACAGCTCACTCAGGGAGGCCCTGATGGGACCTCTGTCCAGAGGCCCTGAGAAAGCTCCTTCCAGGAGCTGCCCAGGATGTCACCAGGGAACCGTCTCTCCACTCGGGGTATCATCTGAGCCAAGAAAAGCACTGAGGCGCTCAAAGACAAAGCAAGACCCAGGGGGAGAGACAGGGGCGGCCATGTGGGTCCTACAGCTCATGAGTGGCTGCGGATGTGGGGATATGGACACACACGGACACACACACACACACACACAAACACACACACATATTGCGGATCGCACAGGCACGTGTGTCCCATCTTCCAGGGCCCTTGGAAATGGCACACACACACACACACACACACACACAATCACACACGGCCAGAAACAGGCAAACAGAAATGCATGACTAGTTCCTGAGTCCCCGCAACCCAGATCATACAGGCCCCTGTGTCCCGTCTTCTAGGGCCCTTGGAAATGGGGTTCCCCGCAGGGCAGGGCCAGGGCCACGGGTGCTCGGGGTGAGCAAGTGTGGGGCCCCCTTCCCACATCCCCCAGCAGCCTCCTCCTCGCTGCCTCCCGCCCCTTCACGGCCGTCCCAGGAGAGGATCCAAGCGAGGAACCGAGGCATCCTTCCAGGCCGGGCTCGCTTCCTGGATGCCAGCTCCCACCACAGGGTCTGGGGCCTTCACAGTCCACCCTCCCCGGGAAGCGACACGAGTCCTGGGTCTCAGCTGGGCTGCGGAGTGCCAGGGAAAGTGCCGGAGCTAAGCACTCCTCTGGCTTTGGTCCCCCCAAGCCCAGGCACACACCTGAGTCCCCTAGAGCTACCCTCGACTGGGCTTCTGGGGGGGTGGGGTGCACTGCCACTCTGTACTCTTTGCAGACAACCCCCCGGGCAGGGCAGGCAGGTGGAGCCGGCACACGGGGCAGCCCTGGTACCCGTGGGGGCTGGGGACACAGCAGGCACTTACCTGCAACACGTAGAAAGTGACGCTGACGACCCATTTGATCTTGGCCAACTGAGCTGTGCGCGCTTTCACTGAAAGGCAAAGCGAGGTCAGAGGACAGGACCGGCTCAAGGACACAGAAAGGTGGTTCTCGCCCAGAAAACGGCAGTGGGCCGGGGAGACAGCGCCGAGCAGAGACCGTGACACGCAGGAGCCCCGGCTGTGACACCCGGCCTCTCCTGCTCCCAAACACAGAGCCAGGTGAAGCCCCAAAATCAAAAAAATGAAATATTTCTGATCACAAACCTCATTGTTTTCTGAACACAATTAAGAAATATAAAGTGGAACATAAGGGCCGAAGAAAGTACGGTGAGTAGGGACTTGCCTTTCACGTGACTGGCCCAAGCAGCGCTCAGGGACCCCTGATCCCTACCAGGAGCGAGCCCTGGGCGCAGAGCCCTGAGCACTGCTGTGCCTCACCAAATATGAAACCCAAAACAGCAGCTGCCAGGCTCCGTGAGCAGGACCACAGCCGCCCTCAATTCTGAACACCCGCAACCACTCAGCTAAACCCATCTTCCGAGCGCGAGGGCCGGGTTGGCGGGACCGCCAAGGTCCTCCCCATCCAAGCTCACTCCCCCACTCGCCTGCCCCCAGCCAGCTGCCCTGCCCTGGGGCCACGAAGCCCCATCTGGCCGGCCCGCAACCCCGAGGGAAGAACACAGAGGGCCCACAGAGGGGGGCACGCAGCTGCCAGGAGGCATTTTTTCAGTGGGCTTCCATCCGAAGGGGCTGCCTGGGAAACAGTGGGCTCTGAAGAGAGTCTAGAGGGACCCGAACCGACCTGCCTGTTACCTCGTTTTCAGAAAAACTCCTGGGTGCCCCCCAAAATCTACTGTTCTCAAAGCACTCCAGGGGGAAAGGGGGTCGGGGGAAGCGTCCACTGGAGCGAGCTAGTCATGAGGGTGTGGAATATGCATATTAAGAAAGCAGAGGGAGGGGCTGGAGCAATAGCACAGCAGGTAGGGTGTTTGCCTTGACCATGGCTGACCCAGGTTCAAGTCCCAGCATCCCATATGGTCCCCCGAGCACTGCCCACCAGGAGTAATTCTTGAGTGAAGAGCCAGGAGTAATCCCTGTGAATTGTCGGGTGTGACCCAAAAAGCAAGAAAAAAAAAAAAAAAGAAAGCAGAGGGAGGACTGGAGTGATAGTACAGCGGGGCGGGTGTTTGCCTTGCACACAGCCAACCCAGGTTCGAGCACCGCTGAGAGTAATTCCTGAGCGCACGCACCAGGAGTAACCCTTGTGCCTTGTCGGGTGTGACCCAAAAAAGCGAAAGGAAAAAAAAAAAAAGAAAGCAGAGGGGCAGGAGAGACTGGACAGGGGGTAAAGGTACATGTCCTGCAGGCAGCCGAGCCCGATTCAAATCCCAAGCACCACAAAGGGTCCCCCCAGAACGATCCCTGAGCACAGAGCCAGGAATGTAACCCTAAGCAAGGCCAAGTATGGTCCAAACATCAAAGTACAAAGAACCCCGGCCCTGAACCCCGGCCCCAAGACCAAGGGACTTCTTCCTTCTGAAGTGGCGGGAGGGGCAGAGTCTGGAACATTCTAGACAAATCTCTGTCCAGAGCGGAAACGTTCAAGAATCAGAGGCCATGCTGAGGGATCTCAGGGGGCCCTGGGCCCTGGCCAGCCGAGGGCAGCCCCTACCATGCGTCTTGAGCTTGTCCGTCATCTTGTTGATTTTCCGCTCCAGTCGCGCGTATCTGGCGAACTCGTCCATCATGTTGACCGTGGCCAGCTCCTGCTTCATGGCCTGGATCTCGGCTCGCATCTGGGACTCCTGCTCGGCAGCCTTCTGCAGCACCCGGGACATCTGGGGGGTGGGGACACTGCGCTGGGGTCAGTGCAACACGGGCAGCCGGGACTTCGGCGCTCGCCTCTGCCAACCCGCGGGTGGCCTCCTGCCCCTGGCGCACACATGCATGTATGTGCGCACACACACACACACACACACACACAACCACCCAGCAGCTTCCACCCCCTACACTATCCTCTACCGTGTACACACACACACAGAGCCACTCACACACACATACACAGTCACTCACACACACACGCCAAACCCAGCAGCTCCTATCACCTACACTATCCCCTACCATGTACACACATACACATACACACACACAGAGCCACTCACACACCCCATCCAGCAGCTCCTATCCCTTACTATCCCCTACCATGTACACACACACAATCACACACTCACAGAGTCACTCACACAATACACGCACACACAGAAGCATACTCAGAGCCACTTATGCGCGTGCACGCACGCACGCACACACACACACATACACACACCAGGTGCTCAGCCCCAGAGACACAATTCATACTGGATATGAAGCCTTCTGTGGGGTTCTGTGGAGTCCAAAGAAGAAGGGAGGTGATACTCCACGAAAGGGGAGCAGATGCCCCACAGATTGGAAAAATAATTCATACCCCTGGCAAGGAGTTACTACCCAGACTATATAAAGAACACAACACCAGTGTCCCTCGCTCCCAGGGCAAGAGCCAGAGAGCAGAGCGGGCAGGGCGTTTGCCCTACAAAAGTGCCGGACCCAAGGTCAATCCCCAGTGCCACCTGGAGTGATCCCTGAGCACTGCCAGCGTGACCCCAACACAAAGTCCCACAGTGAGTCAACAGACGGGACACTCCCGGGCTCAGCTGCTGAAGCCCTTTCTAGAGGGGGAAAAGGCCTCGGCCACGCTTCTGCAGAGAACACGCACTGCACACTACCCTCTTGCCCGCAGAACAGAGGCACAGAGCCCAGGGATAAGGCACTGTCAAATCTCCAGAGAGGAAGGAACGGTCACATCTTCCCGGGAGACGAGTCCGGGCTGAGAACCCTGGGGCCTTCTCAGCACTGCGGGGGGCAGGGTCCCCTCCTCTGCCTGAGCTGCACCCGGCACCCTCGGACACAAACGGCCCAGAGGCACCACTGAAGCGCATCAAACTGCCGGGCCAGCCAATAGTTCCCGCGCTACAGCTCCTGGACCGCACTGCTGACAACTCCAGATGCCACAGTCCTGTCAGCCGGCAGGGTCACAAGCAGCGCTGAGGGGAAGTCGCCCAGAAGCACCCCCCCGCCCCCCGCCAAACTCAGGGAGCCTGGACAGGCACACAGAAGGCTCGGCCAGCACCAGCCGGCACGGCAGACCCTCACACGGGGACTTCGGTCACCTCACTGTGAAATGAGACAACGATCACAAATTGACTCTCATTGATTTGGTCGCTCCATTTCCTTTTGCGTCGTAACAAACAATGTGAAGTAAACCTGTGCCTGCAAGGGGGCAGGCTGGGGTGTAGGGTAGGAAGCTCGGGGCACTGGTGGAAGGAAGGTCACACTGGGGGTGGGACTGCTGTTGGAACACTGTATGGTGAACAACTTGGCAAATCACTTATAATTTAAAAAATTAATAACAAAACACTTAGAAAAAAAAAAAAGGAACACGCACTGGGGATGCCAAGGACCAGAGAAACAAAGTTCAATATCACTTATCTCAGCAAAACACAAATCAGAGCCACAGTGAGGCACGGCTTCACGCTTATCAGCCTGGCCGTTATCACATACACACACAAGCTCACCGTGTGTGTGTGTGTGTGTGTGTGTGTGTGTGTGTGTAGACTTCCTGTGTCGCTGAAACTTACGCCAATTAATCCACATCCAAGTGCAAACCGCCGGTGGTGCATGCCAGCATAGACATGTGAAAATGACCGGCGCCGGGCTCGAGTACACATTCCAGCACTGGCCTGAGTGGCTCCCGAGCACAGGGTAAGGAGTAGGCCCTGAGCATCACTGGGTGCGGCCCCAAAATCAAAAACATGAGGGAAAAAGGGGGCCAAAGCAACTGCACAGCAGATAGGCAGTTGCCTTTCACGGGGCCAAGAGAGGTTTAATCCCCTGGCACCCCATGTGGACCCCTGAGCCTGCCAGGGATGGATCCTGAGCCCAGAGCTAGGAGTAAGGCCTGATCACCACCAGATGTGGAACAAAAAGGGGAAAGGTATGGGGGGGAGGGGAGGACGGACACACACACACACACACAGGACCAGACTTCTCTCCTGGGTGCTGCTGGTGGGAGTGGATACGATGCAGCGGCCCAGAAAGACAGCGGGGCTGGCATCTCCCCAGAGAAATGTTAGGGGGAGGGCACGCTGGGATAACGGCTGCCTAGCCCAGGGCTGTGCTTTAAACTGTATCCCGGGCCTGCCTACACACACACACACACACACAGCATGATGCCAGGTGCGCATCCAATCTATGGGGTCACAGTCTGTCACTAGTCCCATACGGGGCACCCAGAGGGCGCCCTTCGCATGTGCAAAGGACCTCAAGTCTCTCTCTGTCTCATGTGCACACACACCCCAATATGACGCCAGATGCGCCTAACCTGGGACTGTGCTTTAAACTGTATCTCACACACACACACACACACACGCACCCACACCCAGTATGATGCCTGGTGCGCATCCAATCTTTGGGGTCACAGGCTGTCACTAGTCCCATTGGGGGGCACCCAGAGGGCACCCTCCCCCCACCCCCCGCACAGGACCCCACGTCTCTGTCTGTCTCTCTCACGCACATACATACACACACACACACACACACACACACACACAGCATGATGCCTGGTGCGCATCCAATGTTTGGGGTCACACTCTGTCACTAGTCCCATACGGGCATGTGCAAAGGACCTCAAGTCAGTCTCTCTCTCTCTTTCATGCGCGCACACACACCCCAACATGATGCCAGATGCGCCTAGCCCGGGGCTGTGCTTTAAACTGTTTCTCTCTCTTTCTCTCACCCGCACACACACACACACACACACACACACCCAGTATGCGCGCGCGTACACACACACAGTACGATGCCAGGTGCGCAACTAATCTTTGGGGTCACGTCCCATACGGGGCACCCAGAGGGCGCCCTCCCCACCCAACCCCCACCCCGCGCACAGGACCCCACGTATCCGTCTGTTTGTCACACACACACACACCAGACTTGCCACCTAGGCCCCTGCACGACCCCATCCCCCAGCAGGGCCACACACACACACACACACACACACACCCCCAGACTTGCCACCTAGGCCCCTGCTCGCCCCCATCCCCCAGCAGGGCCACACACACACACACACACACACACCCAGACTTGCCACCTAGGCCCCTGCACGCCCCCATCCCCCAGCAGGGCCACACACACACACCCAGACTTGCCACCTAGGCCCCTGCACGCCCCCATCCCCCAGCAGGGTCACATACACGCACACACACACACACACACAGACTTGCCACCTAGGCCCCTGCACGCCCCCATCCCCCAGCAGGGCCACACACACACACACCCAGACTTGCCACCTAGGCCCCTGCACGCCCCCATCCCCCACAGCAGGGCCCCAGCAGGCCAGTCGGGAGACGCCCCGCAGCCCCAGCCCCGCCCCCCGCCCCCCGCCCCCGGTCCTCGGGGAGGCAGGCCCCGCCCGCTCGCCCCGCCTGGCGACCCGGGAACCCCGGCCCCTCCCCGCCAGCATCCTTCCCGGGTCCCGCACACGCCCCCGGCGGCTCTCACCAAGGAGGAGAAGGACGGCAGGAGGATCCTGAGCACGTTGCAGCCGAACACGAAGCTGAGCACGAGCAGCCACGCCCAGTGGTCGGCCTCGGCCGCGCCGGGCGCCGGCTCCGCGGGCCCCGCCGGCTCCATGGGCACCGCGCCGGAGGCCGCGCCTGCGCCTGCGCACGAGGGACGCTCCGCCGCGCCTGCGCACCGCGCCGCCCGCGCCTGCGCCCGGCGATGCGCCTGCGCCCGGGGATGCACCTGGTACCTGCGCACTGCGCCGCCCGAGGATGCGCTGGTACCTGCGCAGCGCGCCCCCCGCCCGCGCTTGGCGCCTCCAGGCCGCCGTCGTCTCGCGCGCGCGCGCGCCCAGGTGCTGGTGGTGCTGCTGGTGCTGGTGCTGGTGGTCCAAGGTTCCATGGGAACTGGCCTCGGTTTGCGTTTCAGAACCAGGCACGGACTGGACCGAGATCTGATTTACGAGACCGCGCGCCTGCAGTAGGGGCAGGAGGCACCGCCTGCGTTACTGTCGCTCTAGACTAGAACGACCCACCTAAGCCGAGGTGCACAGGAGGCCTGGCCCCAGAAGATTCCCTTTCTCTCCGGGACCACCGAAGCGAAGCCGTTCAGTCCAGGGAGAACCGAGTTCCACTCACTGGAAGGTCTTGGTGGGTCGGTGATGCTGAATTCACCAGAAGCAAAACAAGCACTTTCCTTGCACGCCTCGGACCCGGACTCGATCCCTTGCACCACATACGGCCAGGAGTGCTTCCTGAGCTCCGCTGGGTGTGCATTTCCCCCCCCCTCCAAAAATAAGGAGCAAGACAGGGTCGGAGCTGCTGGCTCACCTCCATCACCTCCTAAGCTTTTCCTCCTTGCAACTCACCAGAGTTCATTGGATTTGCATTGAGAAAAATACAGCCGGTAAAAATACGGCGCTTAGAAGTGATTCCTGAGTGCATGAGCCAGGAGTAACCCCTGTGCATCGCCTGGTGTGACCCAAAAAGCAAATATAATATTATATATATATATATGTTAGCCTTGGGCACTGGTTTTTCTAGAAGTTCGTCCACCACACCCATCACATAAAGTTCACTTGCTTTAAGGGGAAACATCAGAGATTCTTCTGTCAAGGTGGGGTTGTGCAACCACCAGGATATATATATATACAGCATATATATGTATATATATGTATATATATATAACAGCACTTGAGTCGGAGCGATAATATAGAGGGGAAGGTGGTTGCTGGCACACAACCCACCGGGTTTTGACCTCCAACACACACACACTACCTAGGGTCAGTCTAGGCGCTGCCAGTTGTAATCCCTGAACACAACAGGGTCTTGCCCAAAAAATATGAATAAAAGGGGGCCGGAGCGATAGCACAACGGGTTGGGCGTTTGCCTTGCATGCGACTCACCCAGGTTGAATTCCCAGCATACCATATGGTCCCCCCAGCACCGCCAGGAGTAATTCCTGAGTGCATGAGCCAGGAGTAACCCCTGTGCATCGGTGGGTGTGACCCAAAAAGAAAAAGAAAAAAAAATTAGAATAAAAATTTAAAAGAAATTTGCCGTTTTCCTCTCCAGACCCTTCTTAGCAGTTTTGGCAGTGAACCTGCAGCTGAGGCCGAAAATCTGTAGGAGAGACCGTTTCCATGTGATTTATCCGTTCTACAATTAAATCCTGGTGGTTGCACAACCCCACCTTGACAGAAGAATCTCTGATGTTTCCCCTAAAGCAAGTGAACTTTATGTGATGGGTGTGGTGGACGACTTCTAGAAAAACCAGTGCCCAAGGCTAACCCCAAAACAAGACTGAATTGGCCTAGATTAAGACCCAGGCATGGGTGATAATTTTTTTATTAAGCATCATTTGTTTTTACTGTGGCATAACTGACTGTGAGTTTTTGGGTTTCTTTTTTTTTGGGGGGGTCACACCCAGCAATGCTCAGAGGTTACTCCCAGCTCTGCCCTCAAGAATTACTCCTGGAGGTACTCTGGGACCATCTGGAGATGCTGGGGATTGAACCCAGGTCTGCTGTGTGCAAAGCAAGTGCAATACCCCTCTGTGCTATCTATCACTACACCCCCACATGGTGTGAGTTTGAAATTTACAACATAAGGACAGGAAGTTGAGTCCAAAGACTATATTGGGGGGGCTGGAGCAATTACACAGTGTGTAGGGCGTTTGCCTTGCACGCGGCCAACGTGGGTTCAATTCCCAGCATCGCCTATGGTACTCCAAGCACCGCCAGGAGTAGTTCCTGAGTGCAAAGCCAGGAATAATCCCTAAGCATTGCAGATGTGACCCAAAAGGCAATATATATATATATATATATATATATATATATATATATATATATGACTATATTGGGGAACACAGTGACGGTGTTATATTGGGGAAGGCGGGGATTGATCCACTGCACCACATCCTGTGGGTCTGAGCCCTGAGCACTGAGCCCAGACTCAGCCCGGCCCTCCCCAGCATCAGGTGGTGTGGCCCAAAACCAGACAAAAAGATTTACAACCTGTTGATAAGACGTATGTATACAGAGTCATGTGATGGCTAGCTCAGTGGTAGCTAACAGCTATGGCTCTATCACATAAGATAACTATTCCTTCCTTTCTCTGAAGGCATCAATAATTTTAAAGGGCTAGGTGATCACTTTTTTTCCCAGAAATCTGCTATAAGAAAAAATATTCCAGATCTACAGGACTGATGTTGAAAAGACACAAACATAGCTCGGACACTGCAGGTCCTATTTGAGACCACCGCAGTAAAGAGGATAGCACAATAATGCATCACATGTGTTTGGTTTCCCAACGGATATAAAATTTGTCATTTTATATTTTAAAAATATAGGCCAGGGGCTGCAGCAATAGCACAGTGGGTAGGGCGTTTGCCTTGCACACAGCCAATCCGGGTTCGATTCCCAGCATCCCCAAGCACCGCCAGGAGTGATTCCTGAGTGCAAAGCCAGGAGTAACCCCTGAGCATCGCTGGGTGTGACCCAAAAAAAGCAAAAAAAAAAAAATAATATATATATATATGGGGCTGGAGCGATAGCACAGCGGTAGGGCGTTCGCCTTACAAGCGGCCAACATGGCCGACCCGAGTTCGATTCCTCCACCCCTCTCGGAAAGCCCGGCAAGCTACCGAGAGTACTCGATATGCCAAACACAGTAACAACAAAGTCTCCAATGGAGACGTTACTGGGCCCGCTCGAGCAAATCGACGATCAACGGGAGGGCCTTTACCTTTACCTTTATATATATATATATACATATATATATATATATATATATATATATAGGCCAGACCAGAGGGCTGGATCATAGCATAGCAGGTAGGGCGTTTATCTTGCACATGACCGACCCGGGTTCTATTCCCAGCATCCCACAGGTCCCCTGAGCACTTCCAGGATTAATTCTTGAGTGCAAAGCCAGGAGTAACCCCTGAGTATTGCCCAGTGTGACCCAAAAAGCAAAAAAAAAAAAAAAAGGCCATAGAGACAATGCAGTGGGTTAGTCATTTCATTTACCTTGCATGCAGCCCACCCAGGTTTGATCTCCAGCAATCCATATGGTCCCCTGAGCCCCGCCAACCATGATCCCTGAGCACAGAGCCAGAAGTAACCCCTGTGCATCTCTGGGTGGGACACAAAATGAAACAAAAAGCTATGTTTATTCAGTGAGTGTATTAAGAAGTCATTAAGTGCATTATGTCTAGATAATGTGCGTGCTTGCCTTGCGTGCAGCCATCCCAGGTTAAAACCCCAGCACCATAAAGAGTCACGCAGCTCTGAACCACGCCAGGAGTGATCCCTGAACACAGAACTAGGAGTCAGCCCTGAGCAAAACTGGGTGTGGTCTAAAAAAATTTTTTTTAAATAGAATAAAACTTTCTCTTCAAGCCAGTGTTCTCCCTTGACCACACATCTAGTTTGCTTGTCTCTGTGTGTCTTTGCTTTTTTCCCCCACCTTGGAGAAGCCCACGTTGTCTCAATCACAGATTTCCTTTCTCTCCCCTCACATCTTTTTTGCTTGTTTTGTTTTGGGGCGACGACAAACACCTTATTTCTATACTATTGCTCTGACCTTATCCCTTCACATCTTTCTAAATAAGTTTCAATAAAAGCTATCTTACTACAGCCACACAGAGGAAATAAATGCCTTGGGGTCAAAGATAAATCAACAGGCTGAGGAGGCCAGAGCTATAGCACAGCAGGTAGGGCATTTGCCTTGCACGCAGCCGGCTGACCTGGGTTCAATCCCCAGCATCCCATATGGTCCCCCAGCACCGCCAAGAGTGATTCTTGAGTGCATGAGCCTGGAGTAACCTATGAGCATCACCAGATGTGACCCCCCCAAAAAAAAAAATCAAAAGGCTGAGTACAGGCTTTGGAGGCGGTGGAGGCCTGAGTTCATGTCTGGCATTCATGTCTGGCACTGTATATTCCTCCAAGCATGTTGAGTTTAACTCCTGAGCATCCCAAGGTCTAGCCCCAAAACAAAAACAAAACACAGGGCTAGGCTATAACTTCGTGGTATATTGTCTTTCATGCATAAGGCCCTATGTTTATTTCCTGGCACAGAGGAAAAAAAAGGGGGGGGGCAATATATTAATTTAAAAATAGGGACTGGTGGGGGCTGGAGTGATAGCACAGCGGGTAGGGCGTTTTTCTTGCACACGCCCGACCCGGGTTCGATTCCCAGCATCCCATATGATCCCCCAAACACTTCCAGGAGTGATTCCTGAGTGCAGAGCCAGGAGTAACCCCTGTTTAATGCCCGGGTGTGACCCCCCCAAAAAAAGTGAAAAATAGGGACTGGAGCAATAGCACAGCAGGTAGCGTGTTTGCCTTGCATACGGGTTCAATTCCCAGCATCCCATATGGTCCCCTGAGCACCGCTAGGAGTGATTCCTGAGTGCATGAGCCAGGAGTAACCCCTGTGCATCGCCGGGTGTGACCCAATAAGCAAAAAAATAAAAATAAATAGATTAGGGCTGGAGAGATAGTACAGCTGACCTGGGTTGAATCCCTGGCATCCCATATGGTCCCCTGAGTATCACCAGGAGTAATTCCTGAGTGCAGAACCAGAAGTAAACCCTGAACACGGCCAGGTGTGACCCCAAAAGTACCCCAAAAAATGTTTTAAGGCAATGTATATGCTTATCACTGTTATTATTAGACCAAAGAACCGAGAAGGGGCAAAAGGGAAAATGATTTCTCCCTACAAAGGAAAGGCCAGAACACAGACCTACAGTCTAGGGACCCATCTGTCCGGCAACAGGCCTGAACCCTGGACAGATAGACAGCTTCCCTTGCAAAGGGTGCACAGCGGCACCCATCTCTGGCGAGGACAAACAGCCTCTCCAGCCAAGGGGAAATCCACTTCGGAGTCAGTGAGGCAGGACCTCGTGACTGTGAGCGACTGTGAGCAGCAGCACTGGCCCAGCAGGTGTTCCAGCTTGCTCCTGTCAGAACCAGTTCCCTCCAGGTGTGCAGCTTCACACCTGTGCAGGGTTACCCTGCACTGACCTACCAATTCCTGGCTGAGCCTGCACACAACACAGAGAACACCATTTCCTGACTGTTCCAGGGACCCAGTAGCCAGCTGGGCCACTGACCATGAGCAGCCAAGAGGCTCCGCCCTGCCCCCGCCCCCTTTCCCCTCTGACCTGACTCCTGGTTTTTCCCTCCAACAGAAACATCTCCCTGGGGCTGGAAAGATAGCACAGTGGGTAGGGCGTTTGCCTTGCACGCGGCTGACCGGGGTTCCATTCCCAGCATCCCATATGGTCCCCTGAGCACTGCTAGGAGTGATTCCTGAGTGCAGAGCCAGGAGTAACCCCTATGCAACTGGATGTCTGGGAGCGTTTTTAGAATTATCTTCCTGGCTCCGTACATGTTATGATAAATCTGTGCTTTTAAAAAAGGTAAGAAAAAGGTAAGGTGAGTAAGCCCTGAGTGCAGAGCCAGGAGTAATCACTAGTAATCACTGTGCATCGCTGGGTGTGACCCAAAAAGAAAAAAAAAAAGGTAAGGTGGGACTGGAGCAATAGCACAGTGGGTAGGGCGTTTGCCTTGCACACGGCCAACCTGGGTTCGATTTCCAGCATCCCATATGGTTCCCTGAGCACCGCCAGGGGTAATTCTTGAGCGCAGAGCCAGGAGTAACCCCTGTGCATTGCCGGGTGTGACCCAAAAAGAAAAAAAAAATTAAAAAAGGTAAGGTAAGGGAGGAGGGCTGGAGCAATAGCACAGTGGGTAGGGCGTTTGCCTTGGACACGGCCAATCCGGGTTCAATTCCCAGCTTCCCATATGGTCCCCTGAGCACCACCAGGAGTAATTCCTGAGTGCATGAGCCAGGAGTAACCCCTGTGCATCGCCAGATGTGACCCCCAATTTTTTTTAAATAATAATAATAATAAATTAAAAAGGTAAGGGAGGACCAATAGCACAGCAAGTAGGAAGCTTGCCTGGGTTTGATCCCTGGCATCCTCTATGGTCCCCCAAGAACCGCCAGGAGTGACCCCTGAGCTCAGAGCCAGGAACAAGTTCTGAGCACCCTCAATATGGCCCAAATCCAACTCCATCCCCCCGCAAAAAAGAGAAAAAAATGATGCTCTAGATCCATCCTCAGAGGGTCACTGAGGTACACAACTTGGTTCCCATTCACTCAGTGATCACATCTGACTCGAAACAGCCCAGCTGCTGACCTCCCTCCATCCCTCCAGGACACACAGCTGTGAGAGGGCCCGGCTGCGCTGTGCCCCTGTGCTCTGCCGGCAGTGCTCTTGCAGAGGTCCTTCCACGTGCCTATGAGTGTTTGCAGATGCCCGGGCCTCACTGCTGTATTCATGCCTTCATTCGTCTGCTCGCCCGATGGTGACCATTTAGGCCCTTATAAATAGCTCAGCTATGAATATCCCCACCTGAGCCCCCTAGTGCACAGACATACATGCCTTTTGATTGGGTGTATTTTGATTGAGTGTATTTTGAGGCTTTTTGATTGAGTGTATTTTTTTTTTCTTTTTGGGTCACACCCGGCAATGCCAGGGTTCTCCGACGGGATTTTTTTTTTAATTTTGGGGGCCACATCTGACAATTACCAGGGCTTATTCCTGGCTCAGGGATACATCTGACAATTACCAGGGATCATTCCTGGCAGGCTCCAGGGGTCAAATCTGAGTTGGCAATGTGCCAGGCAAGCGCCCTACCCAATGTACTACCTCTCTGGTTCCAAGACTTGCCTTTTTTTGGGGTGGTAGGGTTGGGCCACATCCAATGTAGTGCTCAGAGCTTACTCCTGGCTCTACTGTTCGGGGTCAGTCCTGGAGGGCTTGGGGAACTCTAAGGGGTGCTGAGGATTGAGCCCAGTATGTTGCACTCAAAGCATTTCTCTTTTAAAGAGAGATCAAGAGCAGGAGCAGGCGCAGATGGTCAGGTACCTGTCCCCCTTCCTCCCCCATGTGGGCCCTGGCTTTCATCCCCAGTACCACATGGTTCCCCTAGAACTGCACAAAAGCGGAACTGGACCCCAGAGGTCAGAGAAAACCTGTTGGGGTTGAAAGCACAGACGTGAAGGTACTTATTTTGCACACAACTGTCTGGTTGGATCCCTGGCACCCCGCAGGGTCCCCCTTCCCACCAGGAATGGTCCCTGCATTCAAACATTCTCTCTCTCTCTCTCTCTCCCCCCCCCCCCCCCATTGTGCACAGACTAGTAGGAGGTAAGCCCTTGCTGTTTTGAGTTTTGAATGAGAGGGGTTGGCTCTAGAGCTCTATTTACATTTATTTAGACACCTAGCAGAGAGGTTCCTAAATTTCGATTCCAGGCTAGAACTGATGCATTCTTTTGCAGCAGGTGAAGCGCTCTTTCATCCAGGCTTCCTAAATCCCAAACATTTGAAATCAGTTTCCAGTAACACTGAAAACATTTCGATATTTTTTCCCTCTCTAGGAGCTCCGGCTAACAGATTTGTCCATTTAAAACTTTTTTCAGGTCCCTCTCAAACGTAAATTTCTTCTGCATCCAAGAAACAGGTAAACGTGCGAACGCACTGGTTGGGGGTTCTAAAATGGGCTCTTCCAGGCTGAGACTTTTTCCATCGTAAACAAGGCGTTTAGATGAGGGGCTGCGGGAGGAGCGATAGTACAAGAGTGTAGGCCGCCAGCCTTGCACGCGGGCGACCAGGGTTCGATTCTCGGCCCCCCCCCTCTGGTCCCCCAGTCACCGCCAGGAATGACTCCCGAGTGCAGAGCCGGGTGAGTGTCCCCCTCCAAAAAGAAAAAAGAAAACAAGTTAGGAGTGCGAGTGCTTTAAACAGAGGCAGGGGCTGCGCAGGGAGGACGTGCTTGATTGACTCCAGGACTGCTAGCCCCGGCCAGGGGATCAGCGACCTGGGGACGCGACCTGGGTGCAGTGGGAGCTGGGAGAAACCCCCCAGACCCCTCCAACAACCCTCCCGGACACCATCCTGCAAGAGAGGCGGGCCTGCAAGGCTGCGCGGGGAGGAAGCCTGAGCGCAGACGCGAGGTTGCCGCGGGGCCCCGGGCGCTGCAAAGCCCCGCGCCTGCGCAGTACGCTTCGCGCCGGGCCCACGCTTTTCTTCCCACGCCCGCCGCCCCCCCCCCCGCCGCCACGCGCCTGCGCACTAGGCGCTGCGACCCCCCCACCCCCGTGGGCCTGCGAGGTCAGAGACCCCGGGAAGACGCCGCTCTGTGGCGACTGGGGCGCTGGACCCGGGCTGGTTCGGGACCTCGCGCGCCCAGGGCTGCGGGCCCGAGCATCAGCCCCCAACGCGACCCGAGCGGCCCGCAGACCTCGGGCGGGAGCCCAGGTACCCCCGGGGCGCTGTGGGCGGGGCCGGCGGGGCCACGTGACGGGCGCGGGCCAATGGGCGCGCAGACCGCACTTTGCGGCTCGGCTTGAAACGAGCGGGCGTGCGGCGCGAGCGGCCGCCGGGCCCCGCCCCCCTCGCCGGCCGGGGTCTGGGGCCCCGCGAGAGCGCGGGCGGGTGGGGGCGCCGGGGGCGGGGGCGGGGCGGCGCGGCCGAGTGACGGGCGGCCTCGCCTATGCGGCGCGCGGCCCGCGGCGCGGGGCGGCCCCGCAGCCAATGGGCGGGGGCGGGGGGGCGGCCCGGCCGCGGGCGCCGGCGGCCGGGGGAGGGGGAGAGCGCGGGGGGCGGGCTCGCCATCCGGTTCCATCCGGTTCTCGCAGCGCCCCCGCGGCGGGTCGCAGCAGCAGCTCGGGCGGCGGCGGTCCCGGTCCCGGCAGCGCAGCTCGGCGGAGGCGCGGGCGCCACGATGCCCAAGAGGAAGGTGGGGCCGGGCGGGCCCCGGTGGTGGGGGGGAACGGCGCGGGGCGGGGGTCGCGCGCGCGCGGGGCGGCGGGCTTCTGGAACCTTCGTCCCCCCTGCCCCCCGCCGCGCAGCGGCCGCGGGCCCCGAGATTCGAACGCGGCGGCGGGAAGCGCTGACGTCACGCGGCATTGTTCTCGGGCGGGCGCGGGGGGGCTCGGACCCCTGCCGCCCGCGCCCACCCGTGCCCCCGCTGCTTGTTCCCGCAGGTGAACGCGGCCGAGGGGGCGGCCAAGGAGGAGGTAAGAGCCGGGCCCGGGGCGGCGGGCGGGTGGGGGGCGCGGGGCTGCGCCCCTGGGCCCGCCCGCCTCACGGCCCCCTTTTCTCTCTCCAAAGCCCAAGAGGAGATCGGCCAGGCTGTCCGCTGTAAGTTACTCGGGGACCCCTCCCCCCGGGGAAAAAAAAAAAACACTGCGGGGGGCGGGGGGCGCACCCGGTGTGGCTGCTCATTCCCCTCCTCTCCCCTCCCCTCTCCTCCTTCCAGAAACCAGCGCCTGCCAAAGTCGAGGCGAAGCCCAAAAAGGCGGCTGCGAAGGTTGGTCTGGGCCAAGGGGCCGGGGGTCCCGCACCAGGTGGGGTCTCTCTTTCGGCTTGGGGGGGAGGGGGCGGCGGGGGGCGGGGACCGGGCGCATTGGCGCGCATCCCCAGCGCGCAAAGTTTTTGCGCACAGCCCCTGGCGCGCGCTCTGACTCCTTCGTGCGATTTGGATGCCGCTGCAGGTATTTCGTGGGGGTCCAGAAACGGGCTCGAATCCCTGGGCTGACAGAGGAGGACCCGTTTTTCTTGTCTTTTATGCGTTTAATGCAAGATCTGAAAGTCTCAGGCATGGGGTCGGGGGTGGGGTTGTTCTCTGAGCTTTCCAATTAACCCTCTCCCTATGCTTAAAACACTCCCGTTTGCTTGCTTGTTTGTATCAAGCACTTTGCTTGACCACTTTAACTTGATCCTGACAACCTCCCAGGGACAACAGTGCTGGGGGTCGGTAATCAGGATTTTTTTTTTTTTTATTATTGTATGGGTCACATTGCAGTGTTTTGGAATGAAGTTGCCTGGGTTAGGTTAGGTGTACGGGTTTTTGTTTGTTGAGAGCCCACACCTGGCTGTGCATGCAGAATCACTCATGGCGGGCTTGGGGGATAATCTGGGATTCTGGGGATCAAAACCTTTTTGACTGTGCAAGGCAAACACCCTATCAATCCGGCTCTGTCTGTGTGTTTGGCGACTAAAGCCAGGAAAACAAAATACGCAAATCACATGGACTTTGTTTGGGGGTATAGCATTGAAGCCACTCTACAGTGCTGGTGTTTGGTGGGGTGGATTGGTCATGGCTTTGTTCACCTAAAACTTTTATTTTTTTCTTTTTGCATCACACCTGGAGGTGCTCAGGGGTTGCTCCTGGCTCTGCACTCAGGAATCACTCCTGGCGGTACTGGGGAAACTATATGGGATGCTAGGAATCAAACCTGGTTTGGTGGTGTGCAAGGCAAGCTCCCTACCCCCTGCGCTATGGCTCCAGCCCCTCACTTAAAACTTTGAAGAGAGGTTGGATGGATAGTACAGTGGGTAGGGCATTTGCCTTGCATGTGCTGACCCAGGCTTCATCTCTGGAACTGCATATGATCTCAGAGCTCATATGTGGCTCCAAAACCACAGGAAAAATAGAATGCATTTCAGCCTAAACTATATTTGCTCTGACAAAATGAATTCCCCAAAGAATAGTTACGGTGCAGAAGCCACCAGGACAGTCCATTCTTCACTCCCAGCCCCCGGGTGTGTGTTTTCACAGGATTGACGCTTGGTCTGAGCAGAGTAGCCCTGCTTTGCTCCCCACCACTGCACTCTGGCATTGAAAGTTCCGGTCTCTTGGGTTGGGGTGGGTGGGGCACGCCCAGAGGTACTCCGGCTTCCTCCTAGGTCTGCTCAGGGCTCACTCCTGGTAGACTCTGGGGAATATATGGGGTGTTGGGGGCTGATCAGCATCAGCAGCATGCAGAGCAAGTGTCCTACCTGCTGTACTATCTCCAGCCCCAAGAAACCTGTTTATGTATTTGGTGAATGGTGCAGGGCGGTTGCCATAGAGAATGGTTGGCCTGGCTGTCCGCAGTGGCGCCCTTCGGTCCCTTGCCATGCGTCTCTCACAGTGCAAGTTGGGTGCTTATTAAATTTTTTTTTTCCTATAGTGGGACTCATCCATTGTGGGTTTTTTTTGAAACTTGTGCCCGTGTTGCTAAAGCGTACGTGTGTGTCTAACGGTGACTGGCGGACGCTTGCCCACCACCAGGGACCGGGTGTGAACAGCGCCGCTTCTGTGCAAAGTTCTCTGTGGCCAGGCAGGAATGAGAGGAAGTGTAAAGTTGGTTTGGGGGGGGGGGGTGGATGGTGTTGGCTATTGTTCGTGCTCAGGGTAGTGTTTGGGGACCGTTCAGTGCCAGGAGGGCAGACTGGGGCTGAACAAAGGTCACGTTTATGTTTACGCAGTCTTTTCATCCTGTTCTAGGATAAAGCTTCAGACAAGAAAGTGCAAGCGAAGGGGAAGCGGGGAGCCAAAGGGAAGCAGGCGGACATGGCCAACCAAGAGTCGAAGGAAGACCTGCCTGCGGAGAATGGAGAGACCAAGCCCCAGGAGGTCGGTGGGTGGGCGTGGCACACAGGCCGGCCACTGCTACGTGTATATGCTGAGGGTACAAGCATTTCGAGAATAAGATGTTAATACGCTTGGGACGGCATAGCATACGATAAGCAGGACGTTTGCCTTGCACTTGGCCAAACTGGCTTGATTCCCTCACCCTATGTGGTCCCCTGGACCCTGTGGATATGGCCCAGATACCTAAAGAAGAGCTAATGCACTAAGAATTCCACAATAGGGCTAGAGCGATAGCACAGGGGGTGGGACGTTTCCCTTGCACGCAGCCGACCTGGGTTCGATCCCCAGCACCCCATATGGTCCCTGCACTGCCAGGGAGTCATTCTTGAGTACAGAACCAGGAGGAACTTACCCTTGTGCATCGCTGGGGATGACACAAAAAGCCAAAAAAAAAACCTCGTTTCTATTTTTTTGTAAATTTCTAGTAGCAGAGGTTGGTGTTTTTTTTCTGTTTGTTTGTTTGTTTTGTTTTGTTTTGTTTTTTTTTGCTCTGTTGGAGCAGTGTCTCCTCTGACCTGTCGGAGGGGCCTGCAGTGCTGGCGGTTCCTGGCCCACCCATAGTGGTGGCTGCATGTGGTGAATGTGCCTTCACTCAACTCTTGATGCCTGCTTTTGGGTTGGGGGTCAGACCCAGTGGGGTTTAGGGCCACTCAGTGCATGGAGATCACTTCCGACGGTGCTGTGCGTCACACCCAAGTCTCCTTAGTTGTGGGGGCTAGCTCGCCGGCCACCTGCTCTCCGCTGCCTGTAGAGAACATTGGAACCTTTGGTGCTTATACTGCTTGGCTCCAGGGGCAGCTCGGGCATGGATTGCAGTACCTAGTAGTGTTCACTGGCCCCCGGAGTTCAGGCCTGAGTCCGCATACACGACTGTGCTTTCCCTGCGGGGCTCTGCCCAAGCTCCGCCTTCTCAGATTCTTGATCCTGCTTTCAGTTTGGTTGTGGCTTTTGTTTTTGATTTTTGACCTCATCTAGCAGTGCTTAGGGCTTGCCCTGGCTCTGTTCAGGGCTCATTCTGGGGGAGGGATGGGGGGGTGACGACACCATTTGGGGTACCTGGGATGGAATCTGGGTTGGCCGCGTGCAAGGCAAGTTCCCTGCCAGCCCTCCTTATTGCTCTGGTTGCAGCTTTCTATTTTGGTTTTGTTTGTGGGCCACACTGGTGCTTAGGGCTTAACTCCTGGTTCTGCCTTCGGGCATTGCTCCTGCAAGCACACAGGGAGCCTTATGGGATCCCGGGAATCAAACTCTGGTTAGCTGTGCGTGAAGCAAATGCCCCATCTACCATGTTACCACTCCAACACTCTGGCCCCTTTTTATTTATGAGTCAAATTTAACTTTAGTAGCTCTAGAAACATTTTTAAGAAAGAGGGAATCCCGCCTCATCCCATTTTGTAATTTTTTAATTTTTCCCCCCCTTTTTGGGTCATAACCTGGCTCATGCACTCAGGATTTACTCCTGGCAGTGCTCAAGGGACCATATGGAATGCTGGGAATCAAACCCGGGTCGGCCGCGTGTAAGGCAAACACCCTACCCGCTGTGCTATCTCTCCAGAGTCAAATTTTAGACTTAAGTTATAAAGTGTGTGTGTTCATGATTTATTTTTACTGATGGCAAGGTAGATGTTGTTGAAAGAAATTTAGGGGGGATGTGCAGAGAGAGACATATTCAAGGAAGAACACAGGCTTCTCCAGAGGGGAAAAGGAAGAGGCAGGAAACAAAAAAAAGAGACAACCTGGGTTTGGAAGGGAAGCAAGTCTATGGTTAAGAGTTACCCTCAGTTCTAAACACATTGGATATGGTGCATATAACAAGACAATGGTACTAATCCACCCGCACAGGGAAAGTTGGCTTTTGAAGACGTGTTTGCAACCCACAGTGAGTTCTGTTCTGTGCGACTGAGTACTGAACAGCTTCGTGAGGGAAGGAGGCTTGAGTCCAGCGGTCCTTCCATTCCTGTCACCAATCAGTGCCTAGCCTGATGTGCTGCTAGGGTGACACTGAACACGGGGCCAGCCACTGTGTAGTGACTCGCCTCACGAAGCTGTCCAGGAACCATGTTTGCTCAGACAGCGCAGCCTCGGACGCGTGTTGCCGGGTCCCACTTCCCAGTGCTCGGTGCACATGGCCAAGCTGGCTAATAGACCGCTGGCAAGACTGGGAGAGGAATTGGGCAGTTGGTGGTGCTCTGCGCCAGACCTGGGTGTCTTGAACATTGGGGAGGAGGGCAGGGGGTGTTAAATGTTGCGAGCAGACCATTTTACAAGCAGAAACATACGAATTCGAGTTGTGCATTTGCTCATACTTCCCTTCCGCTTGGCAGAGTCCCGCCTCTGACGCCGCAGGAGAGAGAAGCCACATCTGAGCGACGCCGGGTCCCACATGCACCAGTGCGCCTGTCTCCCTTCTTGTACAATCCAGAGGAATATTTTTATCAACTATTTTGTAAATGCAAGTTTTTTAGTAGCTCTAGAAACATTTTTAAGAAGGAGGGAATCCCGCCTCATCCCATTTTGTAAGTGTAAATGCTTTTTTTTAGAGGTGAAATTGTTTGCTGGTTGTTTATTTTTGGGTACAACCAGAGAATAGTGGGATTATGGGAGTCTTTGAATGTGTGGGGTGTCAACATTCCATAGGTGGAGGGCAGTTTTTATATCTTATGTCTACAAAGCACACAGAATTGCGGTTTGGAGTCTCAGGCGTGCATTAAGAGGTGTCAGCATTTTCGGTTACTCTGTCCCTGTGCTGAGTTTGGTAGAAATGTTTCCTCAAGAAAACCACTCCTTGCTCCTGGCTTTCCCTGTCAGAATTTCACGAGTTCAGTGTCATATCATTGGTCCTGGTGTCTAGTTTCCCTAGTAATTTTGTTCCCGTGCTGTGCAAAATAAAAGAATTTGCGTTTGTAGTGTACACGATGCTAAATTGTGAATTAGTAGGAATTATGATGTAACAGCTGAACATTCATTTGAAGATACTGGTACTTGATAACCAGGTCAAAAAAATTTGTTTCCAAATTGTAAGGTGGAAAGTCAGTGGTCACTGGACACCACTTAGAAAGGAACCACAATTCCCTTTTTCTGATTCTTGGTACGTACATTAAAAATTGTATACAAATTGAAACGTCTGTGTACTGATCCTCAAACCAACCAATAAAAACTTAGGAAAGAATTTCCTGAAGCATGTGTGTTTTGTTTTCTATCTGAATTTGGGCCACACTGGACAGTGCTCTTCGATGACTCCTGCCGGGGATTGCCTATTAAAGAGAATATTGATTTTCAGCCCACCTGGGCCCTAAGTGCTGGGTTCGCTTCCCAGCACCACACAATCCTCTGAGTACTACTGGCGATAACCACTGAGCGTGGCTGGGTGTTTAGAAAGGCAGAAGGGAAATAGTCAGCAGGCTGGGTTTCCTTTGGTCCAAGGGAAGGTGGTTGCTGGATTTTTATTTGTGTGGAGGAGCAGGGAACAAGGGGTCACATCCAGCAGTGCTCGGGGCTTAGTCCTGGGTCTGATCAGGGAAACACTTAAGGTGATGCTCAGGAACCATCGGGAAGCTGGAACCCAGTCCTTCCTGGTCAGCCGCATGCCAACCACTGTTCTATTGTTCCAGCCCTTTCTGATTTTTTTAGGAGGATTTTTGGGCCATACCCAAGATCTGACAGTATTCAGGGAGGCGAAGGGAAAATGCATTTTTTAAGACTCCAGTCATTTTAGGGGGTAGGGAGTTAAGGCTTGCACACCACCGTGGGCACAGCTGTTCACACCAGCACGTGGCTCCCTGAGCACTCGGGAGTAAGCCCAGTGCAGAAGAGGAAAAAAAGCAAGCAAATGTCAATCACCTTCGGCATATGTTTTTTTCTGGCTTGTTTCTGGTATTGGGCCACTAGTGGTGGTTCCCAGGGCCTCCTGGAGTATGGAAGATGTGGGTGTGATCCAAACCAAGGTCCCACATGCTCCAAGTGTGCCCTCCAGCCCTCTTGAGTCCACTCCCCAGAACACAAGGAATTTTTGTTTTGTTTTAGGGTGGCACCCAGCCAACCCTGGTCAGCATCTTGCCCCCTGTGCCATGGCTGCAGCACCTCAGGGACCACTCCCGGTGGTGCTGGGGGTCAAACCCCAGGTTGGCCCTGTGCAAGGCAACAGCCCTACCCACTGTAATTTTGCTCCAGCAATCTTTCATCCTTTGAAGAGTGAGAGTGTGAGAATGGGGCCCAAGAAGCAGCTTCAGATGCCCCCATGGGATAAGGAGGAGTTGAATAATGGTGGGGGCGAATGGGGAAACCTTGAAAGGTGAACTAGAGGACCCAAAGAGAGCCCAGGGGGTAGGGCTCGTGCCTTGCTCGCCACAGACCCAGGTTCAATCTCTAGCACCACAGATGATGCCCCAAGCCCCACCAAGAGTGACCCCTGTGCATGGCAGGGTGTGACCTCAAGACAAAAAAGTGAGGTTGGTTGGTTCCTTCCTCCTCCCCTCTTTTCCTCCTTAACTTCCTCTATTCCCACCAGCAACCCACCCCCCCAAAAAAAAAACTTTGCGTGTGATACTGGGGTCAAACCCCAGGCCTCATAGATGCTAGGGAAGTGTTCTATTTCTCTATGCCCGGTCTTGATGTCTCCATCTTTTCATGGGTTCAATGCCGGAGCAGAACCCAAACTGGGATTTGAGACAGCCGTCTTAAACTCAGTTCTCAAGTTGTCTAGGTAAGGACAGTGTCTCTAAAATGGGGGCAGGGGACCGGAATGATAATACAGTGGGGAGGGCATTTGCCTTACAGGTGGCTAACCCAAGTTCAATCCCCGGCATCTTGTGGTCTCCTGAGTACCACCGGGAGTCATTCCAGAGTACAAAGACAGGAGTAACCCCTGAGCATCGCCAGGTGTGACCCAAAAAGACAAAAATTAAAATGGGGATCAGACGCCAGAGTGATAATATGGAAGGGAGGGCGTTAGCTTTGCATGCCGCTGACCAGGGTTCAGTCTCCGGGATCCCATATGGTCCTCTGAGCCTGCCAGAAGTGATCCCTGGGTGCTACTGGGCATGGCCCCATACAACCCCCACCAAAAGAATTGACTAGGAGATAGAGCTGCATCCTGTCCCCAGGGTGGGAGGGAGGAGTGGCTGATCTCACACATCAACGGTCTGAGGCAGCTCAGAGGGCTGAGCTCACACTCTGCATGCAGGAGGCCCGGCACAGTGCCCTGAGCACTGCTGGGACTCCGGCCATGCCCACCCCTAGCTGCACCGAGTCTGAAGCAGGAAGGTCCCTAAGGAAACTCCTGGTCCATCTGCATCTGAATAGGGCTTCTCAGCGGTGCCTCAGTTCCTTCAGGCTCTGAGGTTAGGGAAAGAGACCTGTGACTCTCCATAACAAACAGGCAACTTGGCAGAGGGGGCTGTGGAGGGGGCGCCTCTCAAAAACAAGGCAGCACAGTGGGAGGACGTTTGCCTTGCAAACAGCTGACTAGGGTTGGATCCCTGAGCCCCAAGACACACACACACACACACACACACACACACACACACACACACACATACACACACACACGTCCTGGAGTTCATCGAGTATCCAAGTTAATTCTGACTTTGTCACAGGAAAGCCTTTTGCTATTGATAATCCTTCCCTAGTTCTACCAACATCAGGAAATTTCTCTAGGTGCTGCCTCAGTTTCTCTTATCTCCAAAGAGCTCAGGATTTGCATCTCAAAAGGCTGTGGTCCTGGAGTTCAATGCACAATTCAATCAGCCTAATCAGTGGCTGAATAAATAGCAGTACTCCAACATTAAAAAAAAAAAAGGTTGTAGTCTTTTTTTTTTTTTTGCTTTTTTTGTGTCACACCCGCTGATGACGCGATGCTGCAAAGGGGTTACTCCTGGCTTTTGCACTCAGGAATAACTCTTGGCGGTACTCAGGGGACCTTATGAGATGCTGGGAATTGAACCCGGTTTGGCCACATGCAAGGCAAATATCCTCCCCGCTGTACTATCACTCCAGCCCCTCAAAAGTTTGTGGTCTTAATGCCTTTGGGCTACCTCAGGGCCAGAAATAGCTTCTTAAGTTTTATAATTTATCAAAAGTTCATTCCTGAACACCGACCCCGCCCCCCCCATGCATCCGACACACCCCTCTCTGCCTGCATCCGTTTTTTGAAAAAGCTTTTTTTTTTCTTTTTGGGTCACACCCGGTGATGCCCAGGGGTTCCTCCTGGCTCTGCACTCAGGAGTTACTCCTGGCGGTGCTCAGGGGACCATATGGGATGCTGGGGTAGGCCTCGTGTAAGGCAAACGCCCTACCCGCTGTGCTATCTCTCCAGCCCCTGCATCCGTTTTTTGATTTGAGGTCATACCCGGTGGTGTCCAGGGTTCCCTCCCAGGGCTGCGGAGGGGACCCTGTGGAGCTGGGGATGGGATGGGGCTGTCACTGTGCTCTAGACCCTTCAGCATTTCCGGTTCTCGAGGACAGCATCAGCCGCATTGCACAGGGGCGGGGCAGTCCTGTGGACCATGTCTGTCCCCAAAGCCTCACTCAGGCTTCTGGGCTCCAGCCGGCCTGTCGGCCTGTCGAGGTGATGTAGGCAGGTAGATAGGGAAAGGCTCTCTGCAATGAAACAGTCTCATAGAAGAAAAATTCTAGGACCGACCCACCCTGTGGAGACAGAAAACAAAGGCCTGATAAGACCATCCGCAGACCCTCAGAATATAGACCTCCCCATGAAATTCCTCTTTTTGGACCTCCCTGGTAACCTCCTTAGCAACGAACTTTTACCTGGAAAGAAGCCCCACGTGGGGGCAGGTTGGAGAAACCCTATAAAGGCCACCTGGAACAAAGGAAGGGCGCGCATATGCTGCCTGAGCCCATGTGCTGCTTGTGCCCACGTGGCCGAGCACATGTGGTGGCCGAGCACATGTGGTGGCCGAGCACATCCCCTCTTGAGATGTGTACTTTCATGCTTTCGTGTCTAACTTTACTCTCTCACTCTCTCTCCCTCCCTCCATACCTAAAAATCCTCCAAATAAAATCTATTTACTTCACTGCTTGTCTACTCCTGAAATTCCTTTCTACGAGGCGAGACAAGAACCCAGCAACCCTGGGTCCCGAGTGGCAGAGGCGGGTGGGGAGAAAGTGACTGTCTTTCTCCTCCCCGCTTCACATAAGTCACCCGTGGGGCCCACCGACATCAGAGGCACGCGATGGAACTTGCGCATTCCCTGCTGCAGGCTCGCAGGCCTGTGCTCTCTGCTGAGCTGTCTCGGCCTCGCTCTTGAGTTTCTCCCCCAGGTAACTTTAAGGTGAGGCTGGCATGGGGGAGATTCTTGACCCCTCGGGAAAGGCCGCTCTCGTGGAACGCTTCAGTTCCTGCTTCGTCTAGTTTGCCTGTGAGTCTGGGCAGGGGAAAGGGAGAGTGCAAGTTAGCCAGAGCAACTGCAGAGCAGCGAACTCTCAGAAGCCCAGATCAGGGCTGCAGGGAACCCAAGGCGCTGAGGGCAGGCTTGGTCAGCAGGAGGCCTGGGCTCCAACCTCCATACCTGACGGTCCCCGAGTTAGGAACAGTTCCCCCCCCACCCCCGTCATACCCACTGGGGACCCTCGAACAAGAAACCAAAACTAAGGTTTGCTCTAGACCAAATGGTGGCCGGTGATGATAGAACATTCCAGAACCAAAGCTCACCCTGCCAAAGACACACTTACACCCAGGCTGCTTCCCATTTTTTCTTACCCAGTACCATCTCCTCGGATGGGCTCTACCCCAGCCTCCCCCGGAGTGCACCCCAATAAACTATTTCTACACTTTTTTTTTCCTTTTTGGGTCACAACCGAAGATGCACAGAGGTTACTCCTGGCTCTGCACTCAGGAATCACTCCTGGAGGGGCTTGGGGGACCATAGGGGATGCTGGGGATCGAACCCAGGTCAGCCGCGTGCAAGGCAAATGCCCTTCCCGCTGTGCTATCGCTCGGGCGCCTGTTTCTGTCCTTTATTCGTCTCTGTCAGGTCATCTGAGCTGGGTGAGCTCTCAGACCTATCGTAAACGAAAGCCAAAACTGAAAACTGTCTTCACTGAAGGATTGAAAGTGCTTCCCCTGGAGAGAATGGATGGTGTGTGATGAATTGTTCCCAGAGTTCCAGTATCTGGAGATTCCTCCTGGCTGACATTTCCAGT